TGGAATATCGCGTCGAATCTCTTGCCTCGCCCCGTTACATCTATTCATACCATCTAGAATTATCGCCTGTCGACGGGCCCTCTCTCCCCTCGTTGGACGACTTAGGTGAGTGCTTTTGCATTGTTCGCCCGCGCCGCGCTTTCTTCATGTCCGTCACCTTCCCTGCCACTGCAATCGCACGTGGTTTTTTCCCTTATCGCCCTCTCCTTTTCACATACCCAAATGTGACGTCGATCGTACCTGCGCAAGAGAATGTGTCCTGCTGGTTGGGTGGTAGTCGAAGCTCCATCATGTTCGTCGGGCAACGAGGAAGAGCATCGTCTGCTCGACAGCTTCTTCGGCTGCCTGACGACCGTTGCTGCTCGCCTAACTTCCAGGTGGGCGCGCAGCGGCCCTGGTCAATGTCCCGCCAGTCCTGCCCGACCAATCTGCGCCATGGCAGATAAGCCGTCGCTCGGGGACGATGACCCTTGCCTCACGGGTTCGTCATCGTACGAGTGCGACCATCGAATCAGCCTCGATTACTCGGTCGCGGCCGGCATTCGTCGTGACTGCCGGAGCCTTGGGCATCGTCACGCAACCGTCAACTCCTTCCAATCCAAATACCCAACCCACCATTGTCATCATGTCTTCCTTTCGCTCGCTCTCGCCGACACCTGCTCCTCCTTTTCTTCGTAATAACATTGTGGGCATGCAGTCTTGCTAACAGGAGTTTCACCGCAGTTGCCGCTTCCAACACCCTTAATCGTAATTCAGTCCGTTCTGGAATAATACGATGCTATGGCTGCTGTGATCGGTGACTTCGTATCCGATCCCTCCCACTTCCATAACATGATCGCCGCCTCTGGCATTCAGCACCAACACTCGCACGATTCACACTACCGATCTGCCAGTCGTTCAAGAGACGCTACCCAAAGACGCCCTTCTGCGAGCCCTAGATACACAAACACTCCTCCCCCGCGTCAAAGACGCCCCGACTGGGATTCTGCCGAACCCCCGGAGAAGCACGCGCCGCCCAGTGCCGGAGCATCTCGCTTCCCCTCGCCCCCCTCGTCCTCCTCGCCTACTCGAGCGAGGCCTCAGCATGCCGAGAGCCCCGCATGCATGGCCACCGAATCTCACGATACCAGCCATGTGGCTGCTGTAGCTGCACCTGAGAGCTCTACTCCGGCCGTGCGCCAAGACCAACAGCAGCCCTCTCCTGCCTCCGACGGCGACATCATTGCCGCTCCCTCGTACCCCATGTCCGATACCTCTTCTCCCCGCCAGCAGCCTCAGGGCCAGACCACGATTCATGTGCGCGACTTGGCGCACATTCAGAGCCTTGCCAAGGCAGATATGGTTACGGGCAATGGGCCTGGGATATTGAACGATCCTCCCCTCCAGCAGATGAAGTACGAGATCAGTGCCATGCCCATTGGCGATATTATCGAAATGGTGGCCGCTCTCCTTACGAAAATCACCACAACCAACGATTTGCAACACGATGCCATGCAGCGAAACGTGGCGCATCAACAGCAAGCCAGCCAGAACAACGAGTCAGGCAACGGCACTCCGATGAGCCCTCTCAGCACCTCGGTCCTTGCTTTCCATGGCAAGAATATCCCCGCCATCACCATTCTCAGCTATCTCTCCCGCATTCACAAGTACTGCCCCACCACGTACGAAGTCTTTTTGAGTTTATTAGTATACTTTGACCGTATGACGGAACGAGTCAACGCGATGGTGGTCAAGCATGAGGAGGCCCGAAGGCAGCCAACTTCTCAGTCAACGTCGCGTCCGCAATCTGCAGACGTAGACATGCGAGACAGTGACGAGACGGACTCGGATCTCGCCGATGACGAAGACGTGAACGAGAAGACGGCGACTCCTACCGACGGAGGTATCGTTCCGCAGCCCACGCCCCCGGGAGCCTCCGGGCCGGCGACATACTTTGTTGTTGACAGCTTTAATATCCACCGGCTAATTATTGCGGGCGTAACTTGTGCGAGCAAGTTCTTTTCGGACGTATTCTACACTAACTCTAGATACGCAAAGGTATGTTAACGTCAAGTGTCGACGCAATGTGACCACATCTCTAACAGCTTATAGGTCGGTGGACTTCCTCTGGCCGAGCTCAATCATCTTGAGCTGCAGTTTCTATTGTTGAACGACTTCCGACTTGCGGTCCCCGTTGAAGACCTGGAGGCGTATGCAACCATGTTGGTAGAGTTTTACGCACGGGAAGTGGTAGCACAGCGATCACGACCTGCTGGTGGCGATTCTTAGAGCACCTGCTGCAATTTGACGAGATTGATACCCTGATATACACCATGATTTTGGGAAGACACGGTCTGCCGGATACATCCACATAAAAAGATCGTTTCCGAGTAGCATCGGGTAGAGTACGCTGGCTCTTGCCACTCGTGGAATACCACTAGCAGGGGTGTGAGAGGCTTTGCAGGGCCCGGAGCGTTGGGGTCTTGGGAGGGCATTCGTCGACGCACAACTTCCCCTGACCCGGAGTTTGATACGCTATCGAGCGGACATTGGAAATCCAAGGGGTGATGTGCGGCATATTTGTGTTATGGATTGATACCCGGATAGAAGTGTCGGGTTCGCGGGGACTTTACACCGGGCACGAAGACCTGATTTGAAGGGGCGACCCTTCCCGGGAAGCTTGTTTTGTGCGAGCGGACGGCAATGAGGAGGGACAAGCGCTGGCTGGCTGGTATTTGGTGGTTGGAAATGGGTACTCTCCGTGCTAGACTTTTACGTGCATACTTGGGCCGAGGCGTCTGGTGTTCCAAGACTGACATAGATGGCGAGCATAATGATATGTCCTGAGTGTTTGCAACTCGTTGACTGTGCTGTGAGTGCCTTGTGATGTAGACGAAGTAGACATTGGTAGTCCTGATTGGGACGCTGCCTCTGGAGGGGTTAAGTTTGCAGTCTGCCTTTATCCGAGATGCCGCAAGATAATGCGGTGTTGTAGGCTTGATTGCCTCGGGGTGGGTTAAGAATGCAGTGAAAAAGGCCTGCACAAATGTGCCGAGAGAGTTTCCTGCATTCCTGGCCACGGCGGCCGCACTTCATCAACTACCCAGTTATTTGCGTCGTACACTTTCTATCAGTCTGTCTTTCTGCTAAACTAAGTAGCCCGCCTTTGAGGCGATTTCGACCACCTATGGGTCAGCATAAGGGGGCTCACTATTATCTCACAAACTTTAGGTATAGATAAAATTCATCGCATTTTCTAGACCTACTGAGTGTGCAAGCATTTTGTCGAGTTTTGTAAATCACCTAGGCGATACTGCGGCACTACAGCCAAGACATCAAGCCGGAAACGGGTGAAAGGCTGGGAGACGTACGAGTGTGAGCGTGGACATCAATTTTCCCAGGAGAGCCAAACTCCGGCCAAGAAACAGGCAGAAGTTGTAGGCAACCCGTGATAAGAGCAATGAAGCAACCAACTTGGACATGTCGACACATATTACAAACGCAATGACTAATTAGTATGCAGACGTGATGAAAACATGCAGAATCTCAGCTGCAGATCTCCAACTCTCTTCAGAAATGGAATTGATAGAACGGGTGGTTCCGAAGACTTGTCTCATGGAATCGACGCCTGCGCATCCAATGTGAGACCATCGCACCGAGCCGCAGTTTATCCCATGGGGAGGTCGATCCCAACACTCTCTGAGACAAGGCACTTTTGACTCCCGAGAATGGCAGACCACTCATATGCGTTCTACCGTAGTCATACCATGAGGGCTTCCATTTAAGAAACAAACTGGTTACCGTTCTACCCTCACCGGGTTTCATGTTACCAGGGACTTTGACCGAAGATAGCATAGGCATCAGGATCATTCTAGTCGATATCCTGGTCATAAGCCAAGAGATAATAGATCGACTTCGTGTGCCTTGTTACGTCTGTTTGAAGACTGAGATAGAAAGCGAGACACTACAGGACGCCGCCAAGCAAGTTAGATGGAAAAGCCTACTCCATGGGGCTATTGATTCAATATTCACGTTTGGATCCATCATTATGGTTTTTATTGAAGGTTTGAAACTCCCGCTGTTCTTTCTTGCGAGTATGAGGGCTTTGGGAAAGCATTCCAGATTCAGTCAATTGTCACTGGCCGTGATCACAGAAATTCAGGTCACATGACAGAAATCCTGCAAGAAGTCGTAAAGAAGCGTTGCAAATACTTGCACTACAGGGTGCCTTTCAACCGTTGCTCGTCCTAAGCAGCCATGTCCATATCTAGGTAATTAGTGTTTTTAGTAGTAATGTAGTTCTGAGGTTTACATCCAATCCGTCTTCCTTTCTAAGTTTTCCTTCGCAATTTGCCGCCTGGAGGCGCACCTTTTACATCCAACTAAATGATCTGTCTCTCGCAACGCTTGGCTGGAGACTAATACGCCGCCACAGTTGACATCTATTCGACCGATCGGTACATTAACTTCGAGGTCCTGATACACCTTCAATATCAGCTTATCTTAGAGAGTGTGATTATTTAAGTGCAACACATTTACAACAAGTTTCTATCAAATCTAGCAAGTTCCCAGCGTTCCTTACCATGTCTGCAGCAAGGCACAGTGCTTGCCGATTAAGAGATACCCTGCTTGAAGTAATGCGTGTAGGAGTCATATCCACGACTTCTGTTTACCCATTCCGGATGGGCCTTTGAGGCAACAACAGAATTGCTTACGAACGTACATATGAGAAAGTGAGGCATGATTCGACGCCTCGGGCGACAAGCAAAATCGCCAAGCGGTCGAAAGCAGCCTGTGCTGAGCATGTCAGCTTATTATAGACTCGATCAAGTTGTCTGGAGATGATGATAGAGTTTCCGAGTCTCTGTAAGACGATAGACGACCATCACTCCAAACTCAACTATAAATTCGGCAGGTCTCTTGCCCTTCTCCTCCTGAATCTTCTCCCTTCCAACTCAGATACACTCGAACAAATCACTTCACTACCAATCAAACACTCAAACAGCACATTCTCATTCAAAATGCTCTTCACCAACATCGCCACCGCCGCCCTTGCCGTCCTCGCTGTCCTGGCGCCCTCTGCTCTCACAGCACCCGCCCCTGAGGCCGTCGGAGTCGAGGTCCCAGTGGCCGAAGTCGCCGCTCGAGCTCCCGAAGACATCATGGCACGAGAGATCGATGAACTTCCCACCCGGGAAGTCGAAGAGGTCAAAGCCAGAGACTTGGAGGACCTCGAAGCCCGCCAGGCCGGCACCGTTACTCTGCAGCTCTTTGCCACCAACACGTGCAACTCGGGCTCCGGCGGGCCCCATCGAACTTACAACCGTAACCAATGTGTTGCGCTTGCTGCCCACACTCGTGGAATCAAAGTTATCCGCGGCCCTTGCTTCAGTGAGCCATCTTGTCGAGGAGGTCTGCGGATCCATGCTGACAACTGCGAAACAGTTCATACTTACGAGGACGGGACTTGTGGCAAGAACCCGAGGACCTTTAAGGGTTGGTTCTGTCTCAACACTCAGACGCAGCCTCGGTGGTCTTTCAAGGTGGTGTGTTAGATGGAATCATGGGAATGTCTGGTCACACCTAAGGGGAGAATCCTTCCTGGAAGTGACCGACGTATGGATGGTTTCCTTTGTCCAAGGTTGTTGAGTCTCTCAGCTGAGTATCCACCGTTCATTTCCCGCAAACAACTCAACTTAGGTGGCCATCGCGCATTCATTCCACGTAGTAGAAAATCCAACACACTCATTCCGTCACATTTATGGAGAACCATGCTTGTAATCTGCCTTGAATTACGATGGCCCTACAGGCCCGATGAGATCTATGGACAACGCATCTGAAGAGCAGGCCACGGAGCCTGCCAACAAGCTAGTTCTGCGCGGCAAGCGAATCCATGAGGAACGGCCGTTAGTTCCATCCCAAAGGCCTCTTGGCCTCAATACCCCGTGCGCTGCATTCCACCAAGAGCGTCATGTCCCAGTTGCCTTTCCAAACCCCCTTAGCCAGATTGGGTGACGTACTAGCCCTAGATGTTGGGGCAGTCGATGTTGGACTGGTCGATGCCGAAGTAGTAGAGGCCCTGCTCATGGTTTCCGTAATGAATCCACTTGTATTCCTGGCGGTAGTGCACATCACGGAGATGAAATCTGGTTTCATCTTCTCTGGATCGCACGAGACCACATCTATTACAGGGAAACCGCTTCTGGCCGCTGCTGGTGTAGAACGGAGCTCCAGGAGGCCTGTATGACATTCGAGAGAGAGGATAGGTCACGCCGGGAGGGGCTCCGGCCGGAGGTCCAGGGATGGGGAGCGGCTCTGGAATTCTGGGCCGATCGATGCCGTTGCTGCCCACGTGGCAGCCGCGAGTGCCGATGCGGTTCCGGCGGCGGCGACTGTATATGGGATGTCCCTGGTAAGTGACAGCGACAGGACCGTTCGCGGGGGCGGCGTTGACGGGGTCGGTATTGACAGGACCGGCGTTGGATGGGGCAACGTTGACTGGGGTGATGTTGACAGGGCTGGTGTTGGCAGGACGAGTGTTGACGGGGGCGGCGTTGAGAGGAGCGGCATTGAGAGAAGCGGCGTCGACGAGCGCAGTGTCGGTAGAGATGGCATTCATGCTGGAAGACGCGGTGTCGGTACGTGCAGTGTCCATGTTGGCCATCGGAACGTTGTGGATGGGAGCGTTGATAGAAGCAGCGTTGGGGAAGCCCGTCGAATGAAAGTAACCAGAATTGCCCATTGGGATGGTGCCAGCACGAAAGCCGTTGGCAAAAGGGTCAAATACTCCAGGCTGGCCAGTGGTGTTGTTATCGGCGATGTAGTTGGGAACGATGGGGAAACGAACGGGCGTTGGGATCGATCCGGTTGGCTGGTAGCCAGAAGAATCCGAGAGCATCTCTGGGTCGAGTAGGTCATCACGCAACTGGTAGACAGCTCGATCGACCTCGTCGATGATGTTGTCACCGGCGGTGTTGCTTTCTTGGTCCTGATCGGCGATGGGAGAAGGCAAGGGAGCCGAGTTGGACACGGCATGACCCTGGTCGACCGCATCGTCGCTTTGGACAAGAGGACCCTCCGGATACGCCAACTCGGACCTGCAAGGAAGTCAGTCCAGGTATCGAGGAAGGCATATGTGTAAGCGACAAGGGCTCACGGGACGTACTGCATGGTGCCCTCCATGCTTCTTCGGTCTTGGAAGTGGGAGTCTACTTTCACAATTAGCACCAGCTACATTCTCGAGGTAGATGAAGTCATGGGTCGCGGAGTTCCACGTCAGTTTTAATGAGGATTCATGAAGCACTTACTGCTGTCGTCCATGTTTGCTTTGCCTTGCTCCGAAGTAGCCAGGGAGTCTGAGGTTGTGGTGTCGATAGCAAAGAACAGCAAAGCTGACGATGGTGAGAGGGAGAAAGATCTAGAGGCAGAAAGGGTTTTCAGGAATTCTGAAATTGTTTCGTTTGTGCCCTTGATTATGTCGTCGAGGGCAGGCTTCTGAGGTGTAGTGCGGCTGGTGAGCAGACTGCGGCTTTGCTGCTGCCCATTAGCAGCGCGCCATGGTATGTCCGCTGGAAGAAAGCTTTATTCAAGTCTTTGATGAGTATTCCTTCAGTGAGACCGCTGTTTCTAGCGCGTAACTGAACCAATCTTGTTTTCACGAGGCCATAAATGAATACTTTTGCAGGACGCATATGTTTATCCTACGTCAAAGCTTGGAAGAAACCAGGCATTTCCACCGTCCTCGTGAATTGAATCGATGATGTGAAACAATGAAGCAGCCCATTTCTTCTCCTAGTCCAAGGACTTATATCATCTATGCGTACTGACATTGAGGCAATTATCAATCTCTGTGCGGTTGCCTGAGGACTTACTCCTTGAGTCATCCGTGTCATTGGAAGCCTTGATGGATGACATGAGATCTTGATCAAATGTTTTTGTCAAATGTTTTTGACAGCAACAAGCCACTTACAGAAGCTTCCGGACCGGGCCGGAGGCAGGCCGGAGTGGCAGTGGGTCTTTGCCGAGACACGGAGCGAATGGCCGGTCTCTCGGATCCTGCAGAACAATCGGAGGCGTCCTTGTGCCCCACCATCCTAAACGGGCAAGACATGAGCTAATTGCCTAGTAATGGGCGGTCTAGTCTTGGAAGACGGGCCCCTCGGCTTCCAGAATGCGGGTGTCTCTCCACATAAGATTTTACGTACAGGCAACCAACATGCAAGGTTGGAAGGCTCGTGATGGTGAAACATGTGCTGATGTGAAGGCAAGTCGGATAAAACCGGTCAGCTGCGGCCAAGCAGGCTTAGCAGGGACCAATGAGCCAAGTAGCAGCCAAGATGACAAGCTAACCCCGGCTTCGGCACGTTCTAGCCGCACCTTACCACCGAATCTTGTCCAAATGACGTCAGTTTCCAGTGCCAGCTGGATGGTGCTTGCGACGCTTTGTTGATCGCGAGCTTGGGCTCTTTTTTCTGAGGTGCTCTCAGTTTGTCGCGGGCTTTTTCTTCTTTTCTCTCCCGCAGTTGGCTGGCTGCTAGCCGGCCTGTGATAACCTTAGACCCCCCCTCCCCTCACCTCTGCTCCCAGCCCCTCACCTATTATCTCTCTTTAACCCCCCCTGGTTGCCTCCCCAGCCAACACGCGCCTCTTCTTTTAGGTAGATGCAATCTCTGCAGTCTTTTCCCATCTTACCTTACCGTCCTACAACCACGTCACTGTTGACATTGGATACCTTACTCCAAAGACGAATCACCCTTACAGCCAGCCAAACGCCCGCCATTGAATCACTCTCTTCTAGGTTTTGTCTGTCGCACAATTAAGCCACAGCTCCCCTCATCTTATCAGCCAGCTCCCTGAAAGCGGAAAACACGGGCCAGATGCCAAGCTTTCTGGTCCACTGAAGACATCATTGGCACGCGGCATTCCCAGCCCAGCAAGGTTACCACCCCCAGAACCGATCTGCGGTCTTGGCAACGGCCACGACAGCGCTGCACTGCAGGGTCTCTACAGGATCTCCCGCCGCTATCTATTTTTTCCCTTCGACCATCGGCTTTTTCTTCAGATCTCGCCAGTCTAGCCAACCGCCAGGGTCCTCTTCAAGCCATCTGTTTTGGCGCCCGATCTTGAGAGACAACACGCATCAGCCACGACGCCTGCTTTGACCTCGGAAATCAAACAAGCTTATTTCCGCCCCCATCGCCTCTCGCTGTCAGCGGAAAATGTCGGCCGCGGAAGAGCAAAGGCCCAACGGGCATCCACACTCTGACGGCCCGTCTGATGGGCCTGGCATCTCTAATGCGACCGCACCTCTTGACCAGAGCAGTGAGCCTCGCGTGTCGGCTCAGGCTCCTGAGCAACAGCCGAACGGTCATGCTCCCAACGGCTATGCGCCGAATGGCTCAGCTACCGACAGCCCGACGACGAACGGCCATCTACCGAACGGCACGTCGGATGCGACAGACGCCAACGGCCATGCGGCAAACGGTACCGCATTGGACGGCACATCTCTGGAAGCAGCCGGACCGTCTGCAATAGCTACTGAGGGCAATGACCCGTCAGCAAACGGTGGGCCCTCAACTCAAGGGGACGGGTTGCCGCGACGGAAGGAGGGGGCTCTCGAGGACAGAATCGAGAGTAAGCAGAATCCCAATGCTGACGGGCACAAGACCCCCGACGAGAAGCCGCATCATCGCTCCAGCAACCTTAAGGAGCTCTATGCCGAAAGCAAAGAGAAGGTCAAGGACAAGACCCAACCTTCTGGCGGCTTCGACAAGACCCCCCTCCCAGATGCGCCTCCCGGGTACACGGTGCGATTCATCTTCCACAAAGCCTCGAACCTGCCGGCTGCAGACCTGGGCACCAGATCGTCGGACCCCTACATCCACGTCACACTCAAGGCAGCTGTCCCAAAGCGACACAAAGAGGACCCAGACCTGACGCATCGCACAAAGACGGAGAGAACTACGACCGAGCCCGTGTGGAACGACGAGTGGGTTGTCGCTAACATTCCTTCCGATGGCTTCATCATCAAGTGTCGGCTCTACGATGAAGACTACCCCGACCACGATGACCGTCTCGGCAATGTCACTGTCCGCGTGCCGTATGTGGGATTGGACTGGCAGGGCTACCCGCAACCTGGCCAGGAGTTCATCGCGAAGAAGCGCATGGGTAGCAAGCGCGCGTACTTCTTCAAGGCCATCACCAGCCACTTTGACCCTAACGTAGACATGTCGCCGAGGCTATGGATTAGTATGGAAGTCTTGGGGAAGTCGAATCCCCCTCACGCGCAGATGTACACCGTGGGCCCCACGACCTACTTCAAGCACTTCAGCCCCATGATCGGACGCCTCACCGGTGTCAAGGTCAATAGGGACGAGGATGAAGACGCTCGGTCTGACCAACTCTTCGACGAGGACGAAAACAAGAGCAAGAAGAAGACGACCAAATACGAGTAGGTTTCTCCAAAGTGCCGTTACGGGATGTGTTTTCTAACTCTTTAGCTTCCAATCGAATGAGATGCAGCTCTCAGGCCCAGTGCCACCTGAACTCTACCACCGTTACGTTGAGTTCAGGCCCATGATCGGCCTCATGTTCGCAAAGAGTGGTCTGCGGGGCAAGATCCTCAACAAGGCCTTACACAAGCAACACAACCGTGTCTACAACTTCGACAGCTCGACCGAGTACGGCGTCTTCAAAGCACGATCCGAGGAGGCAGCCCTCCAGTTCCTCAAGATGGTCCACTTCGACGAAGGAGGCCGCATCTTCACATACGTTTTGACGCTTGACGGCATGTTCCGCTTCACGGAAACCGGAAAGGAATTCAGCATCGACATGCTTAGCAAGCACACCATGCACAGCGACGTCGAAACCTACATCGCCTGCTCAGGCGAGTTCTTCGTCCGCCGGCTCGAAAAGCCGGATGCCTCGGAGGACCCCGACCCTAAAGAGAAGACGCACCCCTCAGAAGAGCTGCCCGGCGGCCCTCCGAATGGCCACCCCCCGCACAACCCCGCTCACTACCAGCTCACCATCGACAACGACTCCGGCACCTACCGACCCGACAAGTCCATCCTCCCGAAGCTCAAGGAGTTCCTCGAGGCCAACTTTCCCGGCATGGGCATCGTCGTCATGCATTGCGAAGACGAGAAGCTGCAGAAGATGAAGAAGGAGCAGGTCGAGATCAAGAAGAAGGAGGGCAAGATGGTGAACATGGTGCTCAACCGCAGCCCCAGCTCCAGCTCTCTCAGCTCGGGCGAGAGCGAGCTAGAGGCAATGGAGGGCGCGGGGGAGCATGGGCACAAGAGCACCACGCAAAAGGCTCTGGACGCTATCGAAGACCCCAAGAGTATAAAGAAGCTTTTCGGGCACGGGCACGAAGGAGGCGAGAGTTCTGCTGCGCCTCCTCCTCCTGTGGCGGCGGCACCTCCCACCCAGACGCAACCGGCCGTGGCAGCGGCAAAATAATAAGAGAGGATAGATTGGATCTGGAGACTTCGGACCATATGCTGTTACGGCCTACTTTTGATACCTTTTTGATTTTCGTTGTTTTTGGAAATCTGGCGTTGATTGGATATTTACCTTCACCCTCTTTAATGCTAGTACTCGGATCAGACGCAGGCAAGTCTGCTGGATCGACTATAATTGATTTGCTCAACCTATCATTAACAAGGAAATTCCAACGTGAAGAGAATGTGTCCCTAAACCTAATACTTCCATCTCATCGACTTAACGGAACAGCTCCCGCAGCTCAAGTCCGTCGCTGCCTGCCCCTCCATGGCCACCCACCACCGCTCCCACCCGGACGCGGGAAGTCCGAAGCCATGTTGGTCTCCTTCTGTCGATCACCAAAGTAGGTGTTCGCGGGAAACTTGTTCTGGCTGACGCAGTTGGGGTTACACTTGTCAAGGGGCCCGGATTTGCCACGAGTGAGGTCGAGCACGTAGGTATCGTCCTTGCAGTCCGGAAGGACTTTGTCACGCCATCCATGTCAGCTTTTCCACCGCCAAATTCAAGATTCTCTCCCTCAAATAGAGCACAGAGGAACTGAAGAAGCTCACCTTTGAGATCGTTGAAGGGGATGGTGTTCAGGTAGCAGTCCTTGAACTGGGTCGAATAGGCCGTGTACAGGCCGTTGTAATTCCAGTACCAGTTCCTATCTGCATTAGAAAGAAGGCCATGATGGGTGTCAAGTGATAGACACACTTGTTGGTGTTGTCGGCGGCGCAGCCCATCATGATGAGGGCGCCCGCGGGACCGGTCTTGACTACCTCGGAGTTGGTGTCTGGGCAGCAGTATGTCTTGACATTTGCCGTGGCCGTGCAGTTGAGAGAGGCAAGAGCGCCAGGCACCACAGAAATAACCAGAATGTACTTCATGTTGGGGACGGATTGGTCGCAAGAAGATCTGTGATTGCTATTGTTGTGTTTGGTGTGTTGTTCAGAGGGTTTCAGTCCTATTTAGGTGTAAACAGCGCCACTTATATAGGTATTCACATCTCGTCACTCGGTCTCCCTCACTGCCGTAATCGAGTATTTCCATCGTTTTCACATATCTTCACTACAACCTCTAAGGCGTCCAAACAACCAATAGAAAGTCCGCTCGTAAACCAACGTGGGCGTTCTCGAACTGCCGAATTGTGGAGATTTAGCCTATTAAGCTCAACCAAATCGAGCGCAACACACATCCGTCTTGGAAAATGCGGAGGTGTTATTCATGTAATAGGAAATCACAACACGAATTTGGAAGATTTATAAATTGGCACATGCCAAGACGGTTGCAGCAAAAGTGGCCGGATATTTTGACACCGACCATCTGCCGTCGCTTGACAGCCAATCATCGACTGTTGAATGGTGCCTTTTTGACGTCTCGTGATCGGAGAGGGGATGTTCAGGAGGAGTCTGTCAGTTATATGAACTGATTCAAACAAATTGAACCCCGGCTATTTCTGTCTGATGTCTGAGTGAATAAGGGGCTGCGTGGTGTCCCAGGTGCCCAAAGCTCATAGGTCCGGACCATGGGAAACTCTGTCAATACATTGTCCACAAACCAGAGGGCAGGCTGATTACATGAACAACTAGTACAGGTATCAACGAAAGAGGGGCGCAGTATCTAAGAGGGAGATTATTGGTAATGACATGAGCTGATCATGCCAGCAGGTAAGGTTCTGTTGGCGAGTCAACTATCCCTCTGTTAAACGTGAGGCGGAAGATGCCTTCATATCTAAACAATCGATGCATTGCGCATCCGACCTACTGTCTCTGCTCCGATTGTGTATCTCGACGTTCTTCATCACCCATCAATGTAACGTTTGGGATAAACCAGCATCCTCCAAGGCAAATGACCATCAGCGGTACAAGCATGGCGAAGACCATGTGGACGCCCTTCATCTTGGCATCCAAAATTGCCTGTTCCCAATCATGACAGTCGACGTCTCCACGCTGCCATGTTCCACCAGTTACACTTGATCGAACTGCCTCAGGCAGGTCTGCCGGTAGAGCTGAGTTCATTACGGAGTATTGAACTGCCGTGGAAAGAGCCATTCCGACCACGGATCCAAGCATCCGCATAAGATTTCTCGTAGAAGTCGCAACAGCGCGATCCTCGGGCTTTGAGAGGGCCTGGAGGGCTACCAAGGCTGGCTGGTGGACGAAACCGATTCCGGTTCCTTCAATCAGAAGAACCGTTACGTAGACACTGATAGAAGTCGTGCGTGAAAAGACGAGTTTCAAACCCGATCCCAGAGTCCATAAACCCATGCCGATGAATAAAATTGGTGCGTATCTGCACGCCTGTTGTTAAAGCTGTGGATTGTTTTCGATTTAAAGCTCATACCTCGCAGATTTACTCATAATTGGACCTGATGCCACCCCAGCAGCGCTGTGAATCAGCAGAAGAGGTAGGGTTAGAGACGCACTCCTCAACGGGCTGTACCCGCGGACTTCTTGAAAATAGATGGGGAGGAAATAAAGGTTTACCTGCCAGACGCAGTCGTACAAAGCGCTCTGAACGTACATGACTGCAGTCGACCTCTGGCCAAATAGACGGAGCGGGATTAACGGTATTTTGGCCACTGACTTCTCAATGACGGCGAATATGACGAAGAAGAAGCCACCCAAAACGAGCATTGTGATCACATGCTCGCTGTGCCATGGCCAAATACTCCCTCCTGAGTTGAGAGGGATCTACAACTTATTAGCAGATATTGGCGAATCAAGATGACGCGGAAAGCAATTACCAAGAGGAGAAGCACTCCTGCCATTGCGGCACCCAGACCGTACCAATCGATCTTGGCCAACTTCTCGCGCCAACTCCCAGTGACGGGTTTCAGCGGAAGGCAAAACCAGACGGTTGTCGCACACGCAGCGGCGAGGATAGGGGGAACCCAAAATATCCATCTCCATGCCTCGACACCGCCCGTATTGCCCTTGCGCAACATGCTAGCTGCAATGAAAGGACCAGTACTGGCGCCGAGACCTATTGATGCGCTCAGCATGCCCTGATACTTTCCACGGTCCTTCAAGCTCACTAGATCGCTGACTGTGATCTGAACCAGCGAGCTTATCCCCCCGCCGCCGACACCGCTCAGCGCTCGGCAGACATAAAGCCATAACGGAGTGCGAGCAAAGCCGCAAAGGAGATCGCCGCCGACGAGAAAGCCGATGCACACGAGTAATACCGGTTTGCGACCAAAAATGTCAGAGAGGCGTCCGTACAGAGACTGGAAGGCGGTCTGTCCCATGAGGTAAGCTGTTCCTGCCCATGTGATGCTATTTCCTGCACCGAGAGATCGTGCAATAACTGGGAGTGCCGTCGCGACGGAGTTGATGTCAAGTGTTTGAATGAAGTAGATGGCTGCCAGGCAGAGATAAGCGGACATCAGCCGACCAAAGGGAAGTCTCGAGGATTGATCGACGATGTCAGTCTTGGTTGATTGCTGCGCAGGCTCATTCGATTCTGCTGGAGGCAGAGTAATGGAACCGAGCTCGATGTTACCCTCAGACATGATACGGCTCTCCAAGACTGGTGTTCCTGATATGATAACTCTGCCTTGAGTATCTGGGGACGCTCTTGGCGTCTCATACTGACTTGACGTATCCATTTTCACAGTGGCGCAAGAAGACCCCAGCACGACGTTCTTGTCGCGGCAAACTTGACGTTGGTGATGCGGTAAGCAGGTTGCGGGGAAATATCACGCCAATCCCTTGCGTCTCAATTACCTCGGAAATATCTGGGCGGACAATCCTACTTCCGGTATTCAAGACCTGGGCGTAATCATGAGATTGAGCCAATCGCACGTTTGATGTGAATACATCGCGCAACACTTCCTCCTGCATTGGAGCATTAGGCCCACCACGAAATGAGCTTGAGTGAAGTCAAAGAAGCTTTGGGAACCTGGAAGCCTCAAGAAATTTCTGGAATCTCATGGGACTTTTCAAAGTTGCTATCGACATAGCTGTCAAATCGAAAACTGAGCTCGAGAGCAATGAAGGTGACGACTCAATGCATGCCCGCCACGTGTGCCACGTGGGATAGATATCGTCCTTATCAGATGGGATGAGGCCATCTGATGATGATCTGCGTGCCGTGCATGCGGTTTTCCAGATTGTCTGTCTATGAGGTGCAAGGTTGTCCCGGCTGATGGGCTATAATGATTGGAGCGGCCTTTTGCCTAATCGGGCTCACTTCGTCAAAGTCCCATCTTCTGGAGGCCCCCTACGTACTTCCCTTCTTCTGCCCACGTTCCCGAAGAATAGAATTAAGTTCCTGTCAAACTTTTAAACTTTACCATTGAAGTTATCTCGCGCTGCACTGATTGCTGGGATGCGACTCGGACAGTCATGGCAACCTCCGATGAAAAGGTAGCAAAATCGTCATCGGTTGTCCCACGCAACGTCCGGACCACGATCAATTACTACAAGGACCCTGGAGATGGGACTGAGCATGCACCTAGCATCGCGGGGAAGAGAAGCACCTTTGTCCATCCATCCATCGACTTTGAGACTGTCGTGACCGACATCACTGGAAGCGAAGACAAATACACGCTCGACAGCCATGGCTTCCAACTGCATCGCCATATCAGCCAAGAGAAAGAATTTATCGACGACCAGAGAATCAAGGATCTGTATTATCCAGAAGTAGAGAAACTGCTCTTTGAAGTGTAAGCGTTCTGTCATCGCATTCTTACGGGACGTGTGCTGATACCTTTTAGTACTGGAGCGAGCCGTATTTGCATCTTTGACCACACAATCCGAAGACCGAATCCCACAGCTGCTAGCTCGGACGACGAAAGACGGCCCGTCAAGCGCGCCCATATCGACCAATCTGAATGGGCGTCGGAGAACCAGGTCAGACGACACTTGGGAGAAGACGGCCCGAGACTTTTGAAGTCCCGATTCCAACTCATCAATGTTTGGAGGCCGATTAGAACCATCTACAAGGACCCTCTTGCGGTTTGCGACTCTCACTCGGTGCCAGACGAAGACATTGTTCCGGTCAAGTTGATTTATCCTGATTGGGTGGGAGAACCGTGTACGATTTTGCCGAACAAGGCGCATAGGTGGTACTACAAAAGTCAACAGACGCCAGAGGAGGTCATGTTCATCAAGTGCTACGACTGGAAGACGGATGGGCGGGCGAGAAGGGTTCCACATGCAGCATTTACAGATCCCGAAATGGAGGATCGAGAGCCGAGACATAGCATTGAAGTAAGAGCGCTGGTTTTTCACGAAGGAGATGTTATTCGGGAATGAACTAGCTCATTGATACCAATACAATACCAATTTGCTCTTGATTGGCGCGCGCATCAACAGTGTTGCCAGTGCACTGCCGGTATCGAAACTCCGAATGACCGGCGCTCCGGCGTTGAGGTGGAGCCGGACTCGGACTAATGCCTGTTTTGGATAAACTCCGCTGGGGCTTCTGCCCATTCTCAACCACGGACCGTGATTCTAGAAGATATTGCGAGACCGGTCCATGTTTCTCTGGGTCATTGCATTCAGGTGCCTCGATGATTGTAGACTCCTAAGATACGACGAGTTTCACATCATGGCTGTTACGAGAAACATAGTACCTTTCGGGTACAATATCGAGACCATCCATGTCGTGTGGGTCGCTGCTCTGATATGTGTAAGTTACCATCCGTTCTCAACGTCACATTTGACGACTCTAAACAAATGACAGACTGTGTTATACGCGACGTATCATGTGATTTACAATGTGCTTCTTCACCCGCTGGCTGCCTTTCCCGGCCCTTTCTGGGCAAGGGCATCTTTAGTGCGTCCGAGACAAACGAGAGGGCTTCTGTGTGAACTAACACGAAGGTCAAGCTTTGGCGAATCCGTCATTCCATGAGTGGTCATTTTCACCTAGCAATCCAGAAGCAGCATGAACGTTTGGGTAACTACCTGCACACTGAAATAATAAACTGTAAGAACGCTACTGATGATTTACAGGTCCTGTGGTCAGAATTTCTCCAAACGAGCTGTCCTTTGCTTCGGTGCAGTCATGGAAAGATATCTATGGCCACGCAGTAGGAGGAAAGCAGACCATGACGAAGAGCGAATTCTATGATATGTACGGATCTGGTTTTGAATCTCTTTGTGTCGGTAGTGAGAGGGACCCGAAAAGGCACTCGCAAATGAAGAAGAACTTGTCGGCGTCCTTTTCAACAAAAGCACTCGCGCAGCAAGAGAGCATAGTTCATAGCGTTGTCGATGGATTTATTGCTCGACTAGGGTCGAATGGGACATCTGAAAAGGGTTTAGACATGACTAAGTGGTTTGAGATGGTTGCGTTCGATATTCTTGGAGAAATGGCGTTCGGAGAGAGCTTCCACTGCATAGAGACGGGTAATGACTGGACTTCGTTCGCCGCAGTTCATTCCATTGTCTGCTGACACAGTCATTTAGGGAAGTCTCATTTCTGGTCTGATATGATTGTGGAACATCTGTTCTTCGTCACAGTTCTCGACAACCTTCGCCGATACCCCATTTTGGACGCTCTTGGGAGAAGACTGCTTCCTCGTCTGACCGTATCCGTTCGGGATCGTCACTCAGGCTACAGCCGTACCAAGGTTGAAAGGTAGAGTAACCACACTCTTTCATCTCGACGCTAGACTCACTCAATGGTTTCAAGGCGGCTTCAAAGTGAATCTGGGAGGCACGACTTTTTGACAAATGTATCGGAGAAGGTAAAGAGTGGAGAAGTATCTCAAGAGGAGATGACGGCACACGCGTCAACGTTGGTGTGAGTCTTCAGGGTTTCCAACTTCATGAGCACATTCAGGCTGACAACGGTCGAAGTATTGCTGGAGGGGAGACGGTCGCGACATTCCTAGCGGCAGTAACATTCTTCCTCCTCAAAAACCCTGCGACGTACCTCAAACTCCAGCACGAGATTCGCAGTAACTACAGCTCGCTGAACGAGATCACTGCCATGTCCGCCCAGCAGTTGCCATACTTACAGGCGGTAATTTCGGAGGGCCTCCGAATGTACCCGCCTGGGTCGCAAGGATTTCCTCGGACTTGTCCTGGCTCAACTATCGACGGCCATTGGGTTCCAAAAGGAGTGAGTTTCATACAGTCAAATCTTCTGCCAGCTTCGCTAACTTCATACAATCAAAAGACCGAAGTGTACACAAGTGCATGGACAGTGACACACGACGAGCATAATTTCCACAGGCCATATGACTTCTTGCCGGAGAGGTGGATTGGCACTAATCGTGTAGACAACCTCGAAGCCAGCCAGCCGTTCTCACTAGGACCCCGCGGGTGTTTGGGGAAGAAGTAAGTGACATCCATCAAAGCCAGGATCACGTTCGCCGATGACAGCAGTTGACTAAATTCTGCGGCAATCTAGCTTTGCGTTTGTTGAGATTAATCTCATTTTGGCAAAAATGCATTACGCATACAATTTGCACCTGATTAATGAAGATCTGGACTGGCTGAAGCAAAGTCACATGCATGTGATGTGGTGGAAGCCATCCCTGAACATAAGGTTCGAGCGGGTCACCAGATAATGTTTTCTCATCATGAATCTCACATTGCACCTCACTACATAGCCAATTGAAATGTTCGGAATACTGTCAATGGGATGATTAGGGTGCGATTGTGGCCGGATTCGCAGTGCTGACAGTGTGATTCCGGTGCTTCCTAAAATGGCAAGATACCGAAACCCGCACTGGTCAACGCGATTGGTACACACCACTGATGAACATGGCACCCTTGAGCTTGGGCAACCTACATATCACCTGGCCGTGTTTCGAAAGCCTTTTCTGTTCGTAAAGAAGCTGCAGCAATACTTTGTTTGAGTCATTGCAATCTTGAAAGTCTATCGCCAGCATGTCTGCACAGATTCCACTCACCGAAAAGGTCGCTAAGGAGGATGCAGACCTGAGAGTTGTATCTCTCCAAAAGCTCATGGATGGAGATGCATCCGTCAAGGAAGACCTCTTGAAAGCATGCACAGACCTTGGCTTCTTTTACCTCGACTGTCGCAATGTTGCTTCAGGCAGGATCATGAAGGAAGTTCAAGACATGTACACGCTTGCGACGAGCTTCTACGATCTTCCCCAAGAAGAAAAGTCGAGATGGCTTGTCGACAGAGATCACGATGAGCACTTGGTTATGGGGTACGATTAACCTTCGACCACCTAAACATATCACATAATCGACTAACCCACCCTTTTTGTTTTCTCTAGATACAAGCCTGCCGGTCATGGAAATGGACCAGTGGAGGGGAAGAAGGATGGCTTTGAAGGTTTGATGGTGAGCTGCACTACGCTTTTAGTACATCGCCTTCAGAGGTTGACCATACGTAGCTGTTCGAGCATCCTATTTCTAAGATTGACGATCCCTCATCCTTCCCTGGACCGGAGGTGATTGCCAATGAGCTTGACCCACTGAAGCAAGCTATGTCGAGCTTCCGCGAGATGAGCATTCTTTTACTCACTCGAATCTCCGAAGCCTTGGGACTGAAAGACAATCTGGCGTACCAGCAGTACCACCGGAAGAATGCTGTCTGCCCTACAGCCCTCGGCCTGCTCAAGTACACGCTTGCTGAGGTGGAGAACGACAAGGTGGGGCAGATTGCGCACTCCGATGCTGGCAGTCTTTCGATTGTCTTCACCGAAGTTGCGGGATTGCAGGTTTTGAAGCCCAATGAGGAGACCTGGTATTACATTGCACCTAAGCCCGGTCACGCGGTGGTCAATGTCGGAGACGCGCTGCGCTTCATCTCCGGAGGCGTGCTGGAGTCAAGCTTACATCGCATCATTCCTCACAAAGATGAGATGGGACGACACAAGTACTCCATCGTTTATCTTTTGCGGCCTGAAATGGATGCTGAATTCGTTGACGCTGAAGGCATTGTTTGGAAGGGCCTGGACTGGACAAACAAGAAACATGCTGTCTTCCGTGCTTCAGCGGAAGAGCAGGCCAAAGGGACATATCTTACTGGAAGAGATGGATACGTGGGTCACTGGGACCCCGAGAAGGATGCCGAGAGTCAGACGATTACTGTCCGATGAGTGGCTGGCGGTTACGAGAACTTAAGGAGCTTTCGCCGAGACCAGGAATTATCATACTATTTTGTAGCGACTCGCATCTTTCGTTAAGAAAGGAATTACTGGCTAGACCAAGGCGTCGTTTATCTGGATATGATTGATTCTGAAAAAATATTCATCTACACATTCAAACTTGCAAAGTGTTTTCAAGCCCTATGCCTCAATGAGCAACAGGTTGAACAATGACCTTCATGGTTGGCTTTTGCCAAAGAGTGTGCATCTGCGACGACGCATGCCAGTCCATGCTGGGATCCACCAACTCCAGATCGTACTTGAAATGCATTTTGGCGAGTACAGTACGAAGCTCCATCCATCCAAGACTTTGGTTGTAAAGGAAATGTCAGCTAATGAGCTTGGAGTAGCGAAAATGAAATCACGTTTCAAAGCTCTTACCTTTTCCCTAGACAGTTCCTGGTTCCAAGTGAAAAGGGCTGGCTTGCTTCGAGGATATCCTCTTTATTTGAGTTCATCCATCTCTCGGGTTTGAAGGCCCAGGGCTCATGAAAATGCTCCGGTGACATTGATGCAGCGAAAGGATTAGTTGACACAACAGTCTGCGAGGGCAAACACTATCAGAAATGCTTCATCACTATTATTGAATGAGATCTTACGTACGCCTGCAGGAATGAAGTGCCCGTCAACTGTGTCTCCCCCTTGAGGAACAACTCGAGGAAGGGGGAACGGGAGTGGAGGGTACATCCGCATTCCCTCTAGTATGACGGCGTTCAATAATTTTAGCCCCGTGGTTGAAGCGTCGTTAATCTCCTCGTAAGATCTGAATGAATCGCGGATTTCCTGGCGGAGTTGCTCAAGGATGCTGGAGTTGTGATGAAGGTAGTAAGTGATGCACGACAATGCCGTCGCAGCTGTCTCACTTCCCGCGATTCTGCCCCTTTATCAGTGGTTTTGTGTCGAATAACAGAAAAAGAAAAAAAAAACTAAAAAAAAAAAAAAAAAAAAAAAANAAAAAAAAAAAAAAAAAAAAAAAAAAAAAAAAAAAAAAAAAAAAAAAAAAACTTACACAAAGTCCGACGAGTGCGCTGCAATCTGAACGTCGGAAAGATTGTCTGTCTGCCGATATTCCAAGATCTTTGTGAGGAAGTCTTTTCGGTCACTTTGCTGGTTGATTCGCCTGTGCTCACAACGCAATTAGACCACTGATTAGTTCTTGCCATGTGATTTGTGCGCAACATACTTTTGAACCAGTTCCATAGTGTAAGCCTCGTGTTTCCGCGTGTCCTCGATTAGCTTTGTCAAAAGACTCGGAAACATCTTCTGAAAGACTGCTCCAACTGAAGGAAATCTTTTGAAGCAGTCGGCCATTGCTCCCATTCTGAGACTTTTAACCACAATGGAGACCCATGGATGTTCCTCCCCTACAATGAGGGGCGAGAAATGTTATTATTTGCATGAGATAAAGTGACCAAAATACGAGGCTAACAAACCTGAAGAGACTCCGCCGAAAGATTGACCGAAAGCGAGGCTACCGATGATGTCGAATGTTGTCAGGTTGAACCACATGACGATATCAATACCGCCAGGCTTGCCTCCCTCCTCTCCAATTCGGTCGATGAAGTGGTCTATCACTTGGCTAATGAGGTGCTCTTGCTCCCGAAGTGAACGATCCGAAAAGGCGTCCCGGAGATATCGACGCATCTGCGCATGTTCGTCGGGATCTCGGACACTGACGATCGAGTGTGCTTCGGCAGCGAAGTTTCCACCATCATAGAACTCGCTCTTGATGAACGGGCTGTGACCTTTCCTTTTGTCATAGATGTCTTTCCAGGACTGGGCTGTGTTGAATGACAACTCATTGGGCGCAACTCTCACGACAGGGCCTGGTTAGTGTCGTATCATCAGCCACTGTCAGTTTGCAATACACCATACAGAGAAAGCATACCGTATTTCTGATGCAGCTTCAGCATTTCATAGGGCTGCCGTCCCCCTAGAAATCTACGACAGTGAGAGAACTTCACAACAAATACTGTCAGCTGGGCATCTTCCCAAATACGCCGATGGAGATCCCCCACTTACGTTGCTGAACTTTGCTGTGAAGGGTCCTGGAAATCGAGCCAAAGGATGCCGCTGAATGCCCCTCCATTTTAGCAGAGTGAAAGTAGTGCATATCTGGTGATGTAGGGTAAGTAAAGATGGTTACCACTAAGGCGTCTCTCATGATTAACACCTACAATGGCAAACGCCCACAACAACGTTGTGGGCACTGCATAATTCAAAACCTCCATCATTAGCTGGGTTGGGTCGTTAACGAAACTCTTCAAAGTTTACACGATGCTCCCAAGGCCATAGCACCCTGAAGCAAGCTGGCATGACAAGTAAGGCAGTGTTTAAGGTTCACCGCAAAGTAATACCGACTTTTCAATTGGCTGCTCCAGAGTTTGCGTGTCGGACCAGACGACCTCTAGAGCTCGGAGATCTGGCAAACAGATCCTGGTAAGGATACCAGAGGAACGAATGTCCTTTGTCCCAAAACGGCAATACTCCGTGTCCCCGGCGCTTAGTGCAGATGTTTGGCTCCGGCACCAACCGCCGATCAGTGCGGGTTTGCTGACACGGCGAACAGACTCGGAAGCAGAACTGCCACGGGTAGACGCCGGTCGCGGAAAACAATGAGCATGAAGTACAAACCGTCAGTCAATAAGTCTCTGTCGGTGCCCGCAGCGTGAGGGATTAGCTGGGATACCGAGACAAGCAGAAGCCCCTGTCTATACTTACTCCACAATGGCTACCTTATCAATCAAAGAGGAGGACATCCCACTGCAAAGCGGCAGAAAGGCCGTTATCACAGGTAAGCAATCAAAGATCGTCGTCTGAGCTTGCAGCTTTCCTGACTTGTTGGCTGAAGGAGGATCTTCCGGGATCGGGTTGGCCACAGCCAAAGTCTTGGCGGCCAAGGGTGCCGATGTTGTTATCCTTGATTTATCAGAGCCTGAGGAGACGTTGCCGTCGTCGATACGTTTCCGCAAGTGCGATATCAGCCAGTGGTCTGATCTGCGCGATGCGTTTGCTGATGTCGGCGTTGTTCACATCGCTGTTGCAAATGCTGGGCAGAGTGAGGATGGTACATACCTCACCGATTCTTTCGACGCCCAGGGCAACTTGCTCGAGCCGAACTACAATGTTATTGACGTAAACCTCCGTGGAACTTTGAACTTTGTCAAGCTGGCACTGCATAACATGAGATCCAATCAGACGAAAGGGAGCATCGTTGTGACGTCGAGTGCAACTGCATACTCGGCTGAGCAATCATTGCCGGTGTACAGTGGCACAAAAGCAGCGGTGAGAATAATGCTCTCTGAGGCTTTGGAGTAATCTCACTGATGAATGTAGTTGGTCAATTTCATGCGCGCCATGCGCTCTACGCTTCGAGATAGCGGGATTACTATCAACACGGTTGCACCTGCCGCAACAATCACCAAGCTACTCCCAGCGGATTTGGCCGCACCAATCATAGCTGCTGGCCTTCCGGTCAGTTCAGCCCATTTTGTGGGAGTTGCAGTTGCGTATTCGGCACTTGCAACGGAGTCAAAGAAGGTACAGGGATACGGGCAAGATACTGCTTCATGGGAGAGATCGGCCGGTCGTTGGAACGGGAGAACAATCCTCACTTTGGGAGAGAGATACACAGAGTTGGAAGGGCCCATATCTGACTGTCAGGCGTCATGGTTTGGCGAGGAGAACCTGCAAGAGACCAGGTCACAGCAAGCTGCGACAGACTTCAGACCAAAGCTTTAGTATAGTCCAGACCAGTGAGCTTTGAGATCATTTCAAAAAATGTCTTCCGCGAATAACGATTAAGTTTGCATATTGTTCGAAAACACGGCATTGTAAGATTTTCAGTCGTATGGGAGATGCAGGTTTCCCTTTTTCTTTGTTGATTTGATTTACTGTTCTTCAGTTCTTCCGTTACATTGTCGGTGAAGTCAAAAGGCTGCAGACCGCCTTTTGACTTACTGGGATCGACAATCTGCGAACTCATTCTCCTTATTTTCCCCTCATTCTAATTATTGTTCTGCTATTCTTGTGGCCGTTGGCCATTGTCATGACACTCTGATGGTCTCCATGCTTGACGCGGCGATTATCCTTTTTGGGAGGCTCCGAGTTTGACATTGCCGGAGCATTCCCCAATCAGATGAGTGATGGGCCAGGGGTTCCCGAGCAGTCGGGTCCAGAGGTTGAAATTCGTCTCAAGTAAAACCTTGAGTAGAATCAAACTTAAATCACCACCAGTCAAAGAACTTCACTGATGCTGAACCTGATCTTGGCTACGTCACGAGGAAGGAGTTATCTTTGACAGCGGGAACGGTCTGCTGTATCAAACATCGTCCCAATGTTCTCCCTCCATGCGCTCGCTTCCCTCATCTTCCCTCTTACAACGTCATCTCCGAAGTTACAATGGAACTCGGACGAAAGGATTAGCAGAGAGTACAGTCCGACCAATTCAACTTCAGTATCTCGATTTTCCGCCAAGATTCATCGACTAGAGCCCCAGATCTCTGCCGAAGTAAATGGTTTCTTTTTAGAGCACTGGCCTTTCGAGAACGACAAAGCCCGCAAGAAGTTCATCGCTGCAGGCTTCTCCCGAGTAACCTGCTTCTACTATCCTGTTGCCCTTGACAATAGAATAGGCTTTGCTTGCAGGCTGTTGACCTTGCTATTCTTGATCGATGGTAAGTATCACTGCCTGATGTGGGATACTCGATCTTTTTCGTGTATCCATCAAAAGTGGATGGTGACAAGCTAACCCATACAAGATTTGCTTGAGGACATGTCACTGGAAGATGGGTCGGCGTATAACGAACGGCTGATCCTCTTGTCAAGAGGCGACACGCAACCAGACCGCAAGGTGCCCGTGGAGTGGATCACATACGACCTGTGGAACGACATGCGATCCTGCGACAAGGCTCTAGCAGAAGAGATCTTGGAACCAGTCTTTACTTTCATGCGGGCTCAGACAGACAAATCTCGTCTGTCCATCCAGGAGCTGGGGGAGTATCTCAGGTACCGGGAAAGAGACGTGGGCAAAGCGTTGGTCATCCCCACTCAAGACCTCTTCTCTCTACCTGCGGCTAACAGATTGAAGGCTGTTGTCCGCATTGATGCGTTTCAGTATGAAGCTGGATCTCACTGCAGAAGAGCTCAATACGGTTCATGACATCGAGATGAACTGCTCCAAGCACATTTCTGTTGTTAACGACATCTACAGCTGGGAGAAGGAACTGAAGGCATCTCAGACAGGTCACCAAGAAGGCTCGGCTCTTTGCTCTTCTGTGTCGGTCCTATCCTTCGAGACCAGCTTGGACTACAAAGCATCTAAGAGGGTATTGTGGACCATGTGCCGTGAGTGGGAGCTAGTTCATGAAGAGCTCGTGGAAAGAAGACGGAGTCTGCAGCCCTGCAGCAAGGATTTGCAGTCATTCATGAAGGGTTTGGAATACCAGATGAGTGGTAATGAGGCATGGAGCGAGACGACTCCGAGATACCATTCTGTTTGATGCAACGTTAGCATGGTTTTGAGATAGAAGCATTTCATAGCGATTTCATAGTATGCACAGCATTTCGTCAAATTGAATCTTACTTTTAAGGGTTTTTGACTTCATCTATGAAAACTTGGGTTTCATCTTAGTCGCATGCATCGGCCATCCAAAATAAGGCAGTTCCCCTCATATCTCCTAGGATTAATTTGACGTTGGGTATTTACAAGTCAGCCTACCGTTTCTATACTTCCGATATTATGCATCACTCGTGATGACTCCTGTTATTGCGAGCAATTTTTCGTTCACAATTGTACCGCTGTACATTGGGCTTCACTTCACAAGCGGGGTTATTGAAGGCTGATGGAGCAGTCTATGAAGCATAACAGATTACCCGAAATATTTGACTTGCACACCTTAGCTTGATCAGTAGTGACACAGAGAAACCCTTTCGTGTGTTCCTCTACGCATTTATTGATTTTATGACTCTTTTTGTTCATAAAAACGACAGTTACTGCAGCTACAGATCGTAAATGGGCTATGCTGGGTTCCTATGCTTCCGATTAAACCTTCCCCTCAATCCTTGCGAGCTCTACCAGTTGCCCACATCAGTTTGACGACCCATCGGAACGTTCTGTTTGGACAGTGACACATCCGCATCAGTGAAGTCAACCTTCTCGCACACAGCCGCTTCAATAACAGTCGGATGATCCCCATTGGAAGTCAGTTTGGCCTCCAGCTTCTCATCATGAGCATTGACAATGTCATCGGGAAGTTTCGCTAGAGCTTGGTCAAGATCCTCAATGATGTCTCTCACATCCTCAGTTCCAACCGAGAATCGGATGAAAGCCTATGCACGACGGGGTAAGCAAGTCTTCTTCACAGTCAGAACAAAGCACTCACGGGTGTAATTCCGGCTTCACGCCTGTCTTTTTCGGGCATGATAACATGGGTGGAGTTCCAGGGATGAGTGGCTAGCGTCTTCGAATCTCCCACACTGGCCAGAATGTTAGCATTGGTGTCAACCAGTCCGACGCTTCGAGGCTTACTTTGTTTGATGTGAGATGACTCTCACGTGGTTCATCAGCATCTTGCTGGCAACGTCTCCACCCTTCGGACCAAATGCCAGAACGCCTCCGTACCCGTTCTTTAAGTACTTTTGCGCATTCTCGTAATATTGATTCTTCTCGAGGCCTAGAAGAGTGGTCAGACAAGCCAGAACTTCAAAAACGTAGCGTTTGCTGCCATCGTTGACATTTTATACTTACCAGGATAGTTGACCCAAGCAACTCTAGGGTGTGCTTCCAAGAAGCGAGCAATCTCAATTGTGTTCTTCGCGTGTTTCTCGCACCTCAAACTGAGCGTCTCCATTCCAATGAGGAGTTGTTGAGCTGATGCAGGGGCCAGAGTGGATCCGACTTCCATCAGGATATCGATTCTCATGGCCATGGCAAACGTAATATTTCCAAAAGCCTTCCAGTAAGAGAAGCTCATAGGACCTTCCTTCTTGATCATTCGTGGGAACCTTTCACCGGCTTTACCCCAGTCGAAAGTGCCACAGTCGATGATGACACCTCCAACCGTTGTGCCGTGTCCACCCATCCATTTGGTGGCTGAGTGCAAAATAATGTCTGCTCCGAAGTCGATAGGCTTGCACCAGATACCGCAAGCACCAAAGGTGTTGTCCACCTAAGTGGAGGGTCAGATATGAAGGTCACATCATCATGCCTGGGTAAGCTACTCACAACGAACGGTACGTTATTTTCATGTGCAAGCTCTCCTAGCTCTTTCAAGTCGGGAATGCTGCAACGAGGGTTTCCGATAGTCTCGACGAACAGCATCTTGGTTTTTTCGTCGATGTGCTTTTCGAACTCTTCGCGAGTTTCCTTTTTGGCCCACCTGATTGAGATACCGAGGCGAGGGAGAAGTGTCTTGAACAAACTATAAGTGCCTCCGTACAGGTTGATTGAGGCGACTACATTGTCACCCGCTCCAGCAAGACAGATGATGGTGTTGAAGATTGCGGCCTGTCCGGATGCGGTGGCAACAGCAGCAGTTCCACCTTCAAGAGCCGCGGCTCTCTTCTCAAAAACAGCGACTGTTGGCTAAAGCGGAGTATGTAAGCCGTTGGACCTAGAAATCTGCACTCGGAGACTTCTCACGTTGGAAATTCTGCTGTAAAAGTAGCCGGCACCCTCCATAGCACACACCCTCTTTGCATGGGCGCTGTCGGTGAAGATAAAGGACTTGGCAGAGGACTGTCAGCAATTTCACGTTGAGATTGGACACAGCTCCACTCACCACGCTGTTGTAAATCGGCACCGCCCGAGCATGCGTCTCTCGGTCTGGTCGGTGACCTGCATGGACCTGGAGCGTATCGTATCTTAGCCCATCGTCAAATCTCTCGACCTTGTAAGGTTGAAAAGGGTCGTCGATCTCCAACGACCTCTTGGCCGGAGTGACGGTGGTGGTGAGTGGCTCGTCGCGAATTGGTTCTCCCATGATAGCGATGATTTGTGGTATTCTTTTCCTTTGTGTGAGAAGAAACTTTTCGATCATGCAGTGTGCAGCACCGTCAAAGTTATTCAACTTCATGTATCATCATCAACTGGTCCGTCGGAGAGTTGCCTAATACGGAAATGGTGCGCTCGGTCAACTGCGCTTTAGGAATGAAACCGTGAAATTCTGCTAGACTGGCTATCGCCGAAGATACACTAAGGCACTCTGAATGGCAAACTTCGTCTCATTAAGCTCAGTTGTCAAACTGTCAAAGTCGACTGCCTGCACCTCGAAGGGAACTTTCTCCCCATTCACGCATCCTCCCGAGCCCTCGCCAACATTGCATCGCTATCTTCAGCCGAAGTCTCAGTATGGGATCCTTGTTCGACACGGAGTCTTTGCTGCTACCAGCATTGGTGCACATCGATGTCGTTCGATCACCGTTATGGGCGTTGGCATCGTTGATCGTCATCGGTGGCCTGAGTCTGATGTTCTATCATATCTTTCAGTCTGAGAAGCAAATACTGGCTCCTGGCGTTTTGGTTGTTGGCGGGAATGACAAGAAGAGCATACAACAAAACAGGGAGCGATTTCGAGAAAATGCCAAAGAGATGCTTGAGCAGGGTTACAAGATTGTATGCAGCCTGTGCTTGCTTCTACGTAGCAGACTTCTAATACTTCACAGTCTGGGGATGGATTCTTCTATGTACCAAGCCCACTTGGAGAGCGCTTGATGATACCTACCAAGTATCTTGAAGAGCTCAAGACTGCTTCAATTGACCATGTCGACTTTGTGGCTACTTTCATTGAAGTAAGATCCAACAAAATGGTGAATGAGTGCCTTCTCCAGTACTAATAAACATATCAGATGTTTGAGGGCAAGTACACTACAATGGGAAGCCGGTCTACACTTCACCCTCGTGTTGTCAAGGCACAATTGAACCATCACCTTGGTACGTATATCTCTCAGCCAAGCAACCATATTCATTTGCTGAGAACAGGAATAGCGGATGTGATGCCTGCTGTTCAAAGAGAAATTATAGACGCATTCAATGACACATTTCCCACCTGCGAGGGTATGTTTTCCAAATTCAACATCTTGCTTTGAGATCTGACTGGCATAGAATGGACCCCCGTCCCCGTTGTGGAGGTCCTCACCCAAATTGTGGCGAGGGTTTCCAGCTGCATGTTCGGGGGAACGACATTGTCGCATAACAAGGAATGGGTCCAGTCATCTATTCAGTTCGCTATCGACGGTTTTATCGGGGCTCAAAAGCTAAAGAAGTATCCCGAGTTCTTGAAGCCAGTTGTAGCACGATTCATCCCCGAGATTCAGAATATTTCGAATCACTATGCTGCTGCCGAAGCTGCAGCTATTCCGCTACTTGAGGCTCGTCAGCGGACCGGGGAGAAAGCAATGGACTTGCTATACTGGATGGCCGAGCAAGCCAAAGGCGAGGAAAAGGACCTAAAGTTCCTCGCAAGCATTCTTCTAAAAGTCAGCTTCGCTGCGATACACACAAGCGCTGCTGCGCCGGCACAACTCATCTACGATTTATGCGAGCGACCCGAGATAATTGAACCGTTGCGACAGGAGGTAATCAATTGCACCGGATCGGACGGGTTTATCGACAAGTCCGGTTTCTTAAGAATGAACAAGATGGACAGCTTCATGAAAGAGAGTCAACGCTTCAACCCTCTGCTTCTAAGTAAGGCCAACCCTCTTCGTTTTCATGGCTTTCCGACTAATCGGATTGCAGTCACCTTCGAACGTGTAGTGCATCGGCCATTCAAGCTGTCGTCGGGTTTCACCATTCCCGCTCATACAACCATCGGGATTCCAACACAGGCAATAACCATGGATGAGTCTGTTTATCCTGACCCCGAAACATTTGACGCATTCCGGTTCAGCAACTTGAGAGAGAAGCAGCCAGAGCTGGATGGTCGAGCACAGTACGTCGCGTCAAACCCGGCATCGCTGAGCTTCGGATACGGGCGTCACGCGTGTCCAGGACGCTTCTTTGCTGCACAAGAGATAAAGGCCATAATGGCGCATTTGCTCATGACTTACGACATGCGTTTTGCGCAAGGTCAAAGTAGGCCTGAAAGCTTGCGCGCTGAGACTCAATATTTGCCAAACCCAGTGGCGACAATTGAGTTCAAAAAGCGTTTGCTGCCCGATCTTAGTAGATAGATTCCAATGCAAAGATTTCCAGAAGCCGTTCTAGTTCAAACTCAATTGTACATGAATATCACACGTTTACTCTGCCCACTACATGGGATGATCTACTGTTTATTTGATGTTTGTACCACCACACCATGAGAAGGTTGCCATCCGGGTTTGCCCCAACTCTTTGGCTATGTTGGGATAGAAATATTCCCTGTAATGACGGTTATCTACTGTGCAGTCATTCTACGAAACAATGACAATTGTTTCCTTACGGATTACTTGAAAGCTGCCAAGAGCCTTATGAGGAAATGAGTTCTTTCTTTCACGTTGTGTTCTGTGTTCAGAATCGGTTGACTTCCTAGTTAAGAAGATACCGAAAATGTCATGCAGTATCCGCGCACACCGTCCGACTCGATGTAGCCACGTGGGGAAGCGGTCAGCTCCGTCTGGGACAAGGTTTTGACGGCCTCCGAGTGACAGCGAGGTGGATTTACGGGCAGTACATTGTGATCAAAATGGACGTTCCGCGGGGGGATAAGGGATGCACCGGATCGACTATTTAGTGGAGAAGCCGTTGTTGCATCCCACCGGCACAAGTGCGGGCGCGTAGAAAGTATCAGGCCATGCTTCGGTTTTAATCAACAGGCCGCGAAATGGTGCTGAGACCGCGTTCAGTGGATATATCGGCAAGTTTTCAATGCGAAGGCGGTTGAGGGTCAAAAGCCCCTCATTCCAAACTGTTGCATTCTTCTGCGTCGGCAAAGACGACTCAGACAAAACCGGATCTGTCCGTGTTGACACAGAGTGGTACTCGTCACGCAATTCTCTCCGAGTGCCACGAATACATGTGCGCCACTGGCTTCGTTTTCGCCAAGCTTTGACCGTTGCAAGGGGTCGGGCCGGGAGACACCCCCTAATAGACTTTCTGTTTAGAACTCTAAAATCAGGGCACCCTTCTCGCTCGCCCTCTTTACGGGCTGTCCCATACACGGACTCATCCCAACTTGTGTTGCACGTGTTGACTCGCGGGTTAACTACGGTATTCTGCTCGAGGGAAGCGGGTAAAGGGCCGGGAAGAGGCGCATTATTTCATTGCGTATGCTTTTTGCTGAAGCCTGAACCTGAGGGAAGGATAGAATAAAGTTCGAGGTGTTACATGGACTCGGGACCAGGGACTTGATTAGCGTTGCAACGGTCTCCATATCGGATACTGAAGCAGATGGGGGCCACAAGCGATAAGTCGCTCCACGATGTCCAGTCCGATGTGCGCCCTAATCGTCACGCTCGTCGGGGAGGTGTGAGTGGGTAGTCTCGTTCTCAATGGATGAGTGCTCGTGTATTCGTTATTCGTGTCTCAGCAATACTATCGTCCTAATCCAGCTGTCATCGCCCCCAGCGTTTCTTGTAAGTCTCGAATTCTCAGCCCAACGGGTCTTAAGGCATTCTGATGAGACTCCCAATTCTCCCTTGCTGCATGCGATACCAGCCCCTCCAAGAAAACGTTCATATGCCTTGCTTGAAGTAGAATCAGGAATCCAAAAACTTCGAATCGTTCCTGGACAGAGTCAATCTGAAACTGCCCGATATGAATTGGTAACCAGCGATGCGCGTGTCCATGCAAATCCAGTTGCGATGAGTCCCGCTCGTATGAGGAAGACATGAAATTCGTTTCCCATACAGACGCTATGTCTTCCAACATGCCAATCATCTTCTCAATCAAGAGTATTAAGAAGGTCATGACTCTAGAAGGGTTGCGGCATGAGCTACATTGCAGCAGGGCGTGGCATTGTGATATCGACTTCTTGAGAGAGTTCAGTGATCTCTCTGCTGAGCAAAGACTGTTGAGTTTGGTATGACCTTGAACCTTTTCAAGGTGACCCAAAGTGACTCCCATGCAGCGGCATGGAGACGCTTGATGAGTTCGTGTCCTGTCTCTGGTCGTTGACGTTTCTCGTGGTTGGCGAATTTCCATTTTTGGGTCAATCTTTGATGAGAAAGGAGTTGAAGATCGCCCATTAGAAGACATATTTGTCGTGGGTCTTTTCGGGGATGGTAGAGATTCCTCCATCCGCTTCCTCTTGTTTTGTTGTATTGCGTCCCATTCAGCATCTCCTAGATGTTATTAGTCTTTGCATGCCATGATGAAGCATTAAACTCACCTGAAGTCGCGCTTGTGTTTGCAAAGCTACTCTCTCGAGTATTAGATCTGTTCTCTGATGATGAACTGGACGCGAAAACACTGTCTAGTGTGAGTTCTCTCTCATCATGCTCTGATAAGGCAAGGTCGGCTTCGAGCAGTTCGTCCATATCAAATTCCTGGAAGCTTGACTCGATATACTCCGGCAAAGCTAGATCAGGGAACTCCGGGGGCACAGATACCGCTTGGTCCGTGGGCAAAGCGTTGGATGAGTCGCTTGAGTCTGTCGACAAGTGAGTTGTTATGCTTGGGCCGTGGGTATCCCTGTTCGTGGGCAGTCGAGAAATCATAGGCGCAATATTATGCCTTGCTTCCTTCGTTACGTTCTGATCCAGGAGTTGGCTTGATATAGAAACTTTGGCGTCTTCCAAAGGTGTGCGGGGTAGAATCATTAAATCTTCCGAGCTTGACGGTGTTGGGGCTCCAAATGAAGAGACCCTTTGAGCAGTCGAAGTTCTCCCTGTCTTGCGCCGCTTGGGTTGAGACGCGTTGGTGTAAGTGCATACGAGATTGCGATCTCTGCAACGTTGGCAACCAAATCTATGGCCAGTGCATTTCAACTAGAGAGAGCTGGTCAGCGTTACTCTTTCAAGTCGTTATCTTCCACGCGCATCACTTGCCTTCTTAGCCCGGCACCCATCACACGCAAAGTGACTTGGATTCTGACCCGGAGCTGGCGGTTGATTTGTGCTCGATATGCAGACCACCTCCCCATCTCGATCTTCGGTTCGAAGAGTTGCGAACATGACTTCGTTCGGTCTCGCTCTTTTCTTTGGGCAGATTGCCGACAACGTTGGGGAGAAAATGACAACCGAGACCGAAGACAAGAGATGAATGTTCACAATGTCCCATCACCTACATATAAGACGCATCAAGAATGAGTACGGTCGAGAGCACAGTAAACCTAGGGAACCTTGTCTTTTAATGTGACTCCAGCCAAGTACGTGTCGTATGTTGCAGGCGAGGCGCATACAGCTACGAACTCTATTGCTAGTCGTGAACTTTAAACAGCCTGTCTTTCGCCTGGCCCGGAACGTGAGATGCGGAAATGAGATGGGCATTTCTGCATTTATTCTACAGCTCTTCCCTTGTGTTCCAGTGGTCTGGGCTGGGCTTGAAACGAGGGCAGCCCACTTAGCGAAGTGGCATCGTGCTTTGACTAGAGCTTTGACAAGTTCCCGAACATAGTGTTGATAGCCGACCGATTTTGTGGGCTAAAGATGGCAACAAGAAGGGTTTCGGTGACGGCGATCGTTCCAGAAGTGAAGTGGCGAACGAAGTTTGGAAACCCGTTTTTCTTTGCCATGCCACAGTTGCTCAAATTGGATCCCTCTTGTCTTGGCACGCCGCAATAGCTTCGGATTTGTGATCTGAAGTTTAGCTCTGTCAAGTTCCGGACCGAACCCCTGGTCCCTTGAAGTTTAACTTTCCAGACCCATGTGGTCTCAAGACGACCATAAACAGTAAGACCCTGAAGATCGGTCACAAACGCGCGCAGTGAGTTCAATTCAAGACACAAGGATCACGCCTGGAAGTTGAGAAGCCGCCGCGGACATCCGAAGCCCTGGTCGTCACCTGCTCCGTGCTTAACCCTGCCTCAATTAAATGAAACTATCCACTCACGGTTGTCAATCATTGCAACAGCGCTCACCGCCGTTTTTATCATGTCTATATTGATTGGACTACAGAAAACAGCAGCAGTGGTAACAGACCCTCGGCATGGCATCCTCGGATGAGGGAGGCAGGGAGTACGTCGATAAAGGTAAGAAGCCGATAAGTACGATCTCCTCGCCCCGCGCGACGCTGACTCTCGGCGGACCCCAAGTCACAAGAGTTCGGGTACAAGAGACGGATTGAGGCATATTGCCGTTGATGGCGAGACAGGGGGGCAGTGGAAGAGGACGAGGCGAAATCGATCTTCCCCATGGGCAGAAGCTGAGAGCGGCGGGGAAGTGTCCGGATGACAGAGACCCGCACCGGTCGGAAAGTAAGTTTCTCGTCTCAAGAGATCGAAAGAACTGTTCCGGAGCTGACACTCCTCGAATCTTTCTCTCGGAATCATATCTACTTCAGATAACAGAATAATGTCACCAGGTACTGAGACTTGACCTCAAGGGCTGATAGCGTCACAGTCTTGTGTACTTATGGCGGCTTGCAGACATCAAGTCTGATCTCCGCTGTTGTACAAAGAGGGATGCTCTGCGAGACTCTCCCAAAATCCAAGTTCAAAATTCCAAGGATCCAGGCTCAACCCGAAATCCCATGGCTCAGAATCATTGGAAGGATTAGTTTCCTTCCGCGAACTGATGTACTTACTTTGCGAGTCCTCCATTTGTATGCGGTCGAGAAATCGTTGAATGGTATCCGCAGCTGCCGAGAGCACCGTAAAATTCGGCTCTCCAGGCCGAATTATAGTTCCCATCTCAATTTCAGCAACGAGTACCCCTAGATCTTGTAAAGTTCTGTTCTTTGGGATCTTGAATAGTGTCACGAGACTTGGCTGTTTCAGCATGGCTAGTAACGCTATACCGACAGCGGGAAGTCCATAGTGCGCAACCTCAATAGAGTTAGATCGAACTTTGTGATTCGAAGGTCGAAACCTTACCTTCCATACTGTACTTGTTCCAGAAGAGACGGCCTGATCCCTAAGCACGACCGCTTCTACGACTAAAGACAGAATCTCTTGAGCGAGTTCAACAATGATCTTGTCCGGTTCTGGCGGGGACTTGAGACAGACAAGTTGCGTAAGAAACAGGATGTGAAGGTAATTGAGACGCGCGCTTATGAGAAAATCGCGTTCAAATGGAGTTCTGTCTGATCGTTTCATGCTCCCTTCCAGCCGAAGGGAAGGGGGTAACAGCATCCATTGACTTTGAGCACGCTCTCGTATCAATCTGCGCGGTTAGCCATGAAAGTATTGAAAGATGCAGTCTGTATTGAGGAACCCTGCTTACTTTATTTTTTCCATGCATATATCTCGACAGTCGCCAAACAACATAGCTAGGATATCCTCTTTGAGGGAGGCGCATTGTGCGGACCAACGGGTGTCTGCTCTGTAGCAAGCCTGTGCATCTTGTGTCCAATCTTCCGTCTTGTCAGGCGTTGGTTGACCCAATTCCTCCGAGTCAAGAATCAGTCGTCCTTGAGGAACTTGGAGATGACAGAATCTTTTGCTCAGCCTTGGAGAGCGACCCAGAAAGATGGAAAAGTTCTTATCGGCCGAGTAAATGCGGGCGAAAGCGGTTTTCCTGAGCTCGACTAGGAAGAAGGGTGCACAAACAGGTCCTGACGGCTTTTGGTGATAACCAAGAGCAGTAATTGATGCTATAACATCTCCAAGCCTTCTCCAAGCCGAATAAGCTGCGAGATGCATTAGTTGCGTATCTATGGAGGTTCCGAGCTCATTATACCTACACTGAATCCCAAGAACGTATGAATGAGCGATGAAGTTTTCGTATTGTGCAACGAGCTGGAGGTCATTCAGGCAGTCTAGAGATATACATATCTCTGCCAAAGCATCCGAAACCTTGATTGCTAGTCCAACAAGCTGTTGTCTTCGCACATCTGATTTGTACAAAGATGGGAAGAAGGGCACCTCCATTGTAGCTCGGATCACAGCTGCGAAGAAGATCCCCACCGTTTCCCATCGCAGGTTCTGGCCTACGAACTGAGCCGTGAAGTCTGAAATGGAGCAACCTAGACTGATTTCAAGTGTCCGCCTCGAGTTTCGAAGTAACGAATGAGTGAGTGAATGATGCCACCAGTCATGTTTGTCGGTCTCTCCTTCCAGGATGGTGCCCAGGGCTCGGGAGCATTCATCCACGAAAGGTTCAGCAAGAGCTAGATTGGCGCCTGTAGCACGCCAGAAGCTAATCAAATCTTGCATAGCATTCAACGGAAAACTTTGGAAGACATGTCTCATCAAGTCCACTGTGTTTTTGACAATTGGTTCCTCGTCCAAATAGATAGTATTGGGCGCAGCTTCTGGCCCAAACTGTACACTTCTGGTTGCAGTTCTTTCTGGGCTGTCGTTCGCATCTTGTATCAGGTGACTGAAGATGGAAATGTGACTAGACGCTCCCAGAAATCCAGGGTTCGGGTTCAAGGGACGAGTTGGAGTTGATGATGCAGGCGAATCCTCCAGTGGTTGGTAGCTTTCAGTGAGTTTTTAGCGACTATTGACCAGATGACACTTCCCAGTACCTACCGAGCCGTTTTTGAAGATAAGAATGATGGCGAAAGTGTCTCATTTCGCTTCCTTTTGAAAGGTGTCGCGCGATAGACACAGACATCTTCTCGGTTGTTTGTGACGCACCGGGCGCAAGCGGGCCGCTCATGGCCGCAAGCCAGTTTCGCCGTTCGACACGGGTCACATGCCGCTAGCCGTGGCGTCATATTATTCGTTCAATGACACAATAAATCGTTGAGTTCGTCCGTTTGAGAAAGTCCCAACGTGTTTGGCCAACGGAGTATTTGGGAACTCCGACGAAGTTCTTCATCAGAGTAAGATCACCCCGATAGTCGGTAGTGGGGTTCAGCATCCCTTGTTTCTCCGCACTCGGAGAGTAAGTGATGGATTCGGAGTACGGAGTAATCGCGGAGTAATCTACCCAAACGAATTTCGATTACGGAGTGCGACGCACAGCGTCATTCTGTGACTAAAATTATCTAAAAATAACATGGGAGAAAATTCAGTCCATTTGCATAAAATCTAATGTTGTTGACGAGCCGATTGGTTTGGTCGGGCAACGGATGTTCAGAATAGGCAGTCATCGTTATTTTTCGGATGAGATACGAAAATTCTCCCTGGCGATAACGTCTTCGTATTCTTTACGATATCGTTCTACTCAGCCGCGTCACCTGGAAAAGGGCGAAAAGTTCTTCGAAACACGGCTGCGAATGATTTGGCTCGGAAATCTCAGGTACTTTCTTTTCTGAAGCAATGTTCTGGGCAGACTCCCATCACGAGAGACTGTCTCCCAGGCGTGACACTGGCCACTGTAGAAGATCCTGGGCTTCTGGTTCTGTGCGTTCGCAAACCCCAGCCATAATGTGATCTGCCCATCCATCAGCAGGCCATCCGTGCTCTAACTCCTTGAGCACGACTGCAAAACAAGCCAGAATTGCCAATGAAAGAGATTCTCTCTTCCGAAGCTGGTCTAGAAATCGCTCCGGAATCCGGTATAGCCAGCCGAGAGGGCTAGCGTGATGTGCAGCATCAGGTAACGCTGGATTACTCTCGTTTTCCAAAGCAGATGGTTCCATCACAATGAAGAACACTTCCAAATCATCCAACGCAACGTTGTAAGCCGCCCTGACCCCAATGTCGGATATCTGCTGAGCTCGGCGTCGTAGCATTTGAAAATGGTATTTGTACCCAGCGTCGGCTCCGTATTCCGAAGATTCTAGTGGTATTGAGACGTTCGTTGCGGCTTCAGGGGGCGTATTTGTGCTTTCGCTGTCTTCGTTGTGGGATCTGATCGATTGCACCCCTCGCAAGAGCCCGAGAAAGTCAGATCCAGCTTGGTCGCTGAATGCGATGTATTCTCCTGGTCTTGGACCCAAAGCTAGATTAATTAGACCGATCAAAATTGCCGAAGTGTGCACAACTTCGTAGTTGCTATCGTTGATGCCTTGCAGCAGCATGGTAGAACCTTGGATTCCAAGAACATGGTGTCGTTCGGCTTGGGCTAAGAGATCTTGTTGTAAAGGATGGAGACGGACTTTGTGCAGCGCAGCGAACGCCAGCATGAGATGAAGAAGGTGTGGATATTGGCAAGCAAGCTCTGGCAGCCGGACAAGCCAAAAGCGTTTCCCCTTATCGTCATGAGCCAAGGTCGAGGCTGTCATTGTGTGGTAGTGGTGCATCAGCTCCATGTCAGCATAGCTCAGCATAGGATGCGAAGATGCGTGTGGAGCAGACCGAGCCATGGAATTTTCCATCATTGCTAATCGATGGGATATGATTTCCAGTTGTTTGGACTGCTCGGCCAGTATGCCTAGTAGGCTAATCGAAATACCATTAGTCTGGGTCGAGTTCGAGAGACCTGGGCTTTGTGTGCGCGTGGTGTTTGTTTGAGATAAGACCTCTGTTCCAAAACGGCATTTCATGCACTTCGATGCACCATCTCCTTCATGTCGTTCCAATCGAAAGCTGCAGTCGACCTCCCTGCGTACACAGTTGAGACAGCTTGGCCTAGCTTCATCGCACTTGATTTTCCTCCTCTTGCACTCTTGACAACCCAATCGGGACTTTTTATGAGGCCGCCTATGTTTAACAGTGCCTTCTGATGAGCTCATTGTGGAAGACTTGGAGTACTAGACGCCACTAGAATGGTCGGATATCGTTGGTGTTCGGGATTAGGCTCGGACGAGAACGGTGAATGAGTGGTCGGTAACGGTACTCCAGCGGTGAGATCTGAACGAGAAATCCGCGGACTCTATGCGAGCGCCCAGACAGATGGAGCTTAAATATTTTGACCAAGAGGAAGTGGCGGCCCGCTATGGGTGACCTAGATCTCAATCTCCGGGAGACGGCACATTGCACTCCACAGCCAGGTCAAATCCAGTGGCGCGGTTCACGCATGACGCCTGAATCGGTCTTTCCCACCCCATCCCGTCCAACGATACCGCATCCGTGCCACTGAACCCTGCCACAGTCACTTGTTCTAGAATGATTGCGGCATTGAGAAAAAGCCGACTCTCGGGTACCCACATATAAGCAGTAGTCACTGTTGCCTGCCTTATTGAGCGTATTGGCTCGTACAGCGCGCTTAGAATACGCTCTCAAGCCAGGATGCTGTATGTATGGACTCGTCGACCACAGTTTCTTTGATCTCACTATGATGGATGACGGCATTCAGTTCCTCACTTTCAAAATGGGTCGATTCAGCTATTCTAATTGGATCAATGCGAAATAATCATGTCCAAGATTGGTTTCTCGGCAGCGCTTCATCAATTCGTATAAATCTCTGACGGCTTCTCGTTTTCATGGCTTAGTCTGAGGTAGCCATCGCTCAACATTCATTCGTTTTATCACTGATTGTCACAAGAATCATGGTGTCTACAGCGAAAGTTCTCGTGGCAGCTTTTGCTTTAGCCGGCGGCACTCTGGCTAATGCGTGCAAGTGTGTAAGTGAAGACCAACTTTCGGCGTTGTCATTTCGCATCAGATATGAACTATGATGCTTAACACAATTGTGTTGACCCGGATACAGGCTCCTTCGGATACTTGCTGGCCATCATTGTCAGAGTGGGAATTCTTCAATCAGACCATCTCCGGCAAACTCATTCGCACCGTTCCGCTCGCATCCGTGTGGTACAAGTCCGAGCCGAACTACAACGAAGATTCCTGCAATACCGTTCTTTCCAATTGGACAACCTGGGCGCTTCATTCCTCGGATCCAGCCAGTGTGCCCTCCTCGCCTTCCCTGAAAGGCTGCGAGCCAATCTACCCCAACGGAACCAGCATCAACGGGGATCCTGATGCCGGTAGCAAGGGCTGTTCTTTAGGCGCTCTGCCTCCTTACGTTGTCAATGCAAGCGACTCTGGCGACATTCAGAGGGCACTTGCATTCGCAAAAGATCGTAACCTCAGGCTGGCTATCAAGAACACGGGGCACAATGGCTCTGGCAGGTACGCGCTCATTGATCAATGAAAGACCCTCGATTCATCTTTGAATATAGAAACCTAGGAGTCGGAAGCTTGTCGTAAGTTCTTCTCTGCCGCCGATCGTTCACCTGCACGGCATTGCTCACACATTCTCAACAGGATATGGACGCACAACATGAAGCAGACCCAATTTCATAAACAATTTAAGTCTCTCTCCTGCCCCGCGAACTCTACGTGGAAAGGTAGCCAAATGGCTATCACTATTGGAGCCGGTGTCCAAGACGGCGAGCTTTACGATTTTGCACAGAAGAACAATGTGGTGGCCGTGGGCGGCACGAACATGGTATGAATTCTCTCGAGAACGTCTTCAAGAGTTCTGGCTAACAGTTGCTATGAAGGACGTTGGTGTCGTCGGGTGGGCTACCGGAGGAGGACATGGCCATCTGACTGGAGAGTATGGCATGGGCGCAGACAGCATTCTCGAAGCCTCAGTCGTCATCCCCAATGGTGATTTGATCACAGTCAACGCGTGCCAGAATGAGGACATTTACTGGGCGATTCGTGGAGGCGGAGGTGGTACCTTCGGCGTCATCGTCAACATGACAGTCAAGGCATACCCTGTGCCAGATATGATCTTGCTTGGCCTCAATGTGTCCGCTAACAATGGTACATCAACTAAGAATTGGTGGAAGTTCGTGGCAAAGCTGCACACTCTGCTCCCTGGACTTCAAGACCAAGGAATCAAGGGTTACTACACCATCGGAGGGCCCCCTTCGAGCGCGACAGTTGGCATGGCCGGCTCACTCTTTGCTTGGAATATGTCAAACGAAACTGTTGCAAAAGCAGTCGCTCCCATTCGAGACCTCATCTCGAATTCGAGCGGTGTTGTGAGCGGCTCTGTTCAGGTCGTACCGATTCCATCCTTCTACGGCCTTCTTACCGGCATCAAGATTCCGGATCACGCCGGGGGATCTGGGATTTCTGCCGCAAGACTCATCAGTCGGAAGGTTGTCACCGAAAACGAGAATGTACTCGCCGAGGTTTTGGAACAGGTTGGCCCTCAGGCCATCGCGCCAACAGTGAGCACCCCGTGCCTTCATGCTCGTTTCTACCAATTTTTAAAGCTAACCATCACTCTGAAGGACGGAACCTTGAATCCTTCCATGTCTGGAACCATGACGATCAGTCAAGTTCCCGTTGACAATGCGCTGAACCCTGCGTGGCGCGATTCTGTGGTTCATCTCATCACTTCCCAGTCATGGACGGACTCCACGCCAAACACCACTGTGTCTGCGCTGGTCAACGAGATGACATACAACAAGTTGAACGTTCTACGAGAGTTAAATCCGGAGACGGGAACCTATCTGAACGAGGTCGGTTGCCCTGATTTGTGTCCTATTGTCTATCCAATTCTTTCGTCATCCTTCTAGTTCTTTCTCTCTGAAGCTATCCGTGAAGTCTGTTGCTAATTCTTGTTTTCTACTTTCATAGGCAAACGTAATTGAGCCTGGTTGGCAATGGTCTTTCTTCGGAGCCAATTATGGACGACTTCGTAGTATCAAGGTGAAGTACGATCCTGAGGGGCTTTTGTGGTGCCCGCAATGTGTTGGAAGCGAGGAATGGATAGAGAGCGAGGACGGTACCTTCTGCAGAGCTTCGAAGCCGTTCTAGGCGTTGTCCAAGCTTTGCCCACGAGAAACCAGCTTTTTGATTCCTTTCTATCTGAGGTGCTACGCCACCTAGACAATTTAGATCAACATTCTACCAACATTATTAATACAATATTTCCTACACAACTTCGACTGGGACAAATCTCAGTGGGCTCTGCAAGTCTCTCTGGGGGTGAATGCGCTCTCCAACGAGCACTTCCATAACACCCAAACACCGTTTTAAACGGAGAAAAATGCTCCGTCCAAGACTAAAGAATAAGAATTTCACACTGATTCGGTCTCCCCTTCACTGCCTCGAGTTAACTAGACTAACACCGAGGCATGTCGTCAGAGAATCTCAAATGCCAAGCAAGTAGAGTCGGCAAAGTGAAAGCGTGTTGATTGCGATATTTTCACGCCGGAGAAGACGAAGATCATCCCCAATTGCTTTCTGATTAGTAGAACTTTCGAGCATCTTAGCATCCTAGTATCCTAATGGCATCCCAAGATGTCTCGGGCCAATGACCCGGAGCTGGGGAAGACGCAAGCAACCGCCTTGCAGCGGCCCCTGTGCGCCCCGAGACATATATGTATAAGTATCCATTCCAACCTACCCTGCAAGTAATTACGGCATATATCCTAGCGCGTAACTCAGACTCAATGGGGTATACTAGCAAGCCATCTGACTGTTGCGTCATTCTCTTTCCCAAAGAGGATTGATAATTAGGAGTTTAGCAAGCAGGTCGAGAGATCCGTTCTAACAACGCCTACCACGGTAAGATACGTTTGGCAATGAATCTCTTATTTTTGGAGATCAGAATGGAGTAATAATATTTTCTGTGGGCGTATATTCCCCGGCCGCTCATTGAAGACCTCTTGTTAGCTCTCTTCCAGGCACACCCTGTAAGTAGGTCGATACTTGAGACCAGTCAAGCTCAAATCGCACGAATTACTTTTCACTGGCGGTGGAAGCTAACGAAACGATCCTCTTCCAGGACTGCAATTGCTGTCTAGGTTGCTGGCTTCGGCAAACCTGAGCTCCAATCCTCTGCCTTGGAATGCGCTTCATCCACGACCTAGCTCGAAGACAACTTCCACCAACCCCGTTCGGTATCAAGATGCATCTTAGCACCATGTTTGTCTCGCCATTACGGCACTGCTATGATTCACAGGGAGCACCATTTACCCGTTGCCGTGTTGAGCCTCAAGAATTTGGCAGTTGAAGCTCGGCGATGTCTCAGATCTCCAATGTCTGAGATCCTGGATCCAAAGTAAGCAACCATTATAAGTCTTGTCTTGGTTCTTTCTCAATCTCAAGCAAGGCAGGAAGGCTCGACAGTCTTGACATCAATGTCAGAAGGGGATAAATAAATGAGTGAGACCTCTTACTCCAGTCTTGGAAACCGCCAATCCTTTCTCTTCTGGGATCCGGGAGCGACTTAACTGCCTTAGCTCCGAACTTCAGATATTCCCCAGTGGAACTAAGAAAATCATCCACCACCTTGTCCACTGAGAGATTTGTTGACGGAGAATACGGGCTCTCGGTAAAGCTTGCTCGGTTGCAATCACTAGGAGGGCTATTTTCGTCTCGAAACCTTCTCGGTATATCCCTAGATGAGTTTTGCTACTCGGGCAGTATTAGTTAGCTATCCGGGCAGTGTTAATGTACGCGTAAACAATCCGTAGCCTATTTCTAAAGTAACTATATTTCCTATTCTTACTTTTATTATCGTTATTATCTATTATTATTATTACTATCGTCGTCGTTATCGTTATCGTTATTATTATCCTTATTACTAGTTCTACCGTTCTCTCTATAATCATAAATCATAGGGGACACTGCCCAGATATCTAACTAACACTGCCCGACTAGCAAAACTCATAACTAATAGTTGCTCCAGACCCTGGCTTTTACTCTCATTGACATCGTGGAAGGTCAGGCCTCAGAGATTCAATCTGAGGCCGATAGCTTGAGCGCGACTATTGGGGGGACGCGATCACTAGCTACCAGAGAGTCAACCTGGACTGAGAGCATTTGGATAATCATCTTGAATCCTTAATGGCTATGGCAATCTCAAGCTTGGTATGGGCGTATTGCTGTGCCATCTTCTTGTTCAAAACATCACTGAGGGCTTTCAACAACCCTAGCTGATGGGCATCTTATGTTTTGGTTTTCTTCTTTAATCTTTTGGTTCCACCTTAAATGCATTGATAACTATGCCAGCTTAAGTCATGATTTCTCTTTATCTTTTATACGATTACGGCGGTGCTTTTCGCATTATGATCTTGCATTTTATTCTATTTATGTGCCTTATTATTCTCCCCAGAGTTGCAAGAAACTTTAGAGCGAGCTTCCACGGAGTGCGGGTTGGCGAAGATCATTCAATGGTTTCGTCGCGGGATGCCTCTCATGAGAAAACAGCAGTCTTTCTTTCTTCTAAGGGCTCATGACTGCGTAATGCCTCCAGCCACCGCACCTCTTCGCATATTCCTTTGCCTCCTCAACCTGGTCCAAGGTGAAAGTCTTCGTGATCGTGCCACTCTCAGCGCCAATCTTGAGGAACCCCTGGGTAATCATGTTGATGAGCTGTTCCAGCGTCTTGCGGTGACACACCCACTTCGCAAGAATCTGCAGGTCCTTGTAGACGGCCTCTGCGTAGTTGATGCCCCCAAGACCACCCATGGTGCCTCCACTCAGAACGATGCGGCCCTCACACTTGAGTACACGGGATGCAGCGGAGAGGTACAATGGACCAGGCAGCTCGCCGGGGGTCCAGTCGTTGTAGACCTCCGCCCCAGCTGCGTCAGGCGTCTTGTCGATGATTGCCTTCTGATCAACCTCATCATCGCCGCTCATTACAACGTATTGCAGTCTGGGATGGTTGATCGTCTTCTGCATCATCGCAAGCTTCTCGTTATTTCTGCCGAGAGCAATGACATTTGCACCTAGCGCAAGAGCAATCTCGACCGCCAGGCCGCCAAAAGTACCTCCAGACGGGCCGATCACAATGGTTTCTGCGGGCTTGAGGTCCGCCGCCTCGATGATGGCGCCAGCCGAGATGGCATACATCGTGAGAGACTGGAGCACAGCCGCATCGTATCCCAGTTCTCTGCACAGCCTATTCTCATTGAGGAGGTAGCAGTTCTCCAGCGGCACCTTCTGGTATTGCTGGAAAGCCCCATCCTTCCACTCGCCCTGCATCAGCTTCTTCGCCCGAGGCCCATTGCCCCCGATGTGCCCAATAACGATCTTGGTGTTGGGATCATCTCGGGCCTGAACCTGGGCTTTGACGTAGACAAGATCGCCGGGCTTTAGGCGCACTGCATCGGGGCCGACTGAGTGCACGCGCCCGATGCCGGCGGAGTTGGGGATCAAGGGAGGTTCGAGGTTCAGTTGTGGAAGTTTCCCATCGTGGGCGAGATGTGTGTATGGAACGACTGGCGCAGCTAGAACGCGAGTGACGACGGTGCCGGTGGTGGCTTCGGGAATGGGAAGTTCGATCTTCTCCAACGGTGCGCCAAAGGCCGGGAGCCTCAGGGCCAGGTTCTTGGGCGCGTTTGAGCCCATGGTAGATGTCGCAAAGTAAGCTTGACGTCAAAAAGCGTAGATGATGCGGGAGCTGGTGCGGAGAATAGAGATTTTGGACTTTTGTTGGCACATGTTCAAGTCTGACGGCACAGCACGTCTTTTATAAGAGAAAACTGCATGTTGTCTTAGCAAAACTTCAAACGGCCCGAGGTTTTCCATGCCGAGACCGATGCTGACGAGAATGCTGTTGTTTGGGCAAGATAATGAAGCGTCGGCTCTCAGGTATCGCTCTGGTTCCCGCTTACATCATAAAGGCGTACTGGAAGTTCTCACGATACGTCGAGTCGCGCCCACTGCCCCGGTTCCAACAACTCCCCACAACACAAGTCAAACCAATCATGCCCTCGCCTTCTCCTCAGCTCGCAAGCGATACTGCTCATTCCCATCTCAGAACCCTGTCTTGCCATCTCGTTCGCGTCAGAATCGAGTCGGGTACAAAAAGCAAGTCGGCATCTTGAGATCCCCGTTGAAACGTCAAGTCACCTTCCACAGGCGATCATCTGGTCGTTGGCAGAGAAATCAAATTGACTGAAAGACTTCCAACAAAAATTCTGGCTTGGCATTACATAAACGGATGCTTGTCGTCATTCTGCTCTACCCTGGTATTCATACACGGTCCAACACACAATTACAGCCCACATCCCCAGGTGTCTCAATGAACTCCCAACCCAATCACCCCGAAATTGTTGTTCCCGCGGTCAACCCTCCCGGCCGCCTGGTTCTTTCCAACATCAGGCCGATCCTTGGCCCACTCCTTCAACTCCTCCTTACTCTTCCCTGTGTACTTCCGCATATCCTCCTCCGAGATCTCGCCGGCCCGGGAGCCGGTCAAGCGCTGATACAGCGACTTCTTCTTGGGCGCCTTTGATTGAGAGGGTGGCTCTTGGTTTCCGTCATTGTTGACGAGGGTCATCTGGCTGTCATTGCTGTGGTGAGACATTCTGAAGTGGCTCTTGAGGTGGTTGAAGGGGTTCCGTTGTGTCCCCGCTGGGTTTTGTGTAGTCTTATTGTGTTGATTGTGGTTACTGGCTTGGTTGAAGACGATGAGTGACAGTAGACCTGACGATTGTTGGGGGACGTGAGACTCGGAGAAGTTCATTCTTTATAGATGATCAGACGATGGCTTGATGGGGAAGGTGCTAAACCAACAGGTGCCACTTTCAAGCGGGGGCATCTTCTTGCGTTTATATCTTCATCACATGATGGCTGTGCCACGAGTTTGATACATATCGCTCTCAACTAACGAACGCGGCCGCCGGCTACAGGCCATTCAGAAAGGGCGAAGCAGCTCTTGGGTGCGTGCCGGGCGGGCGACCCCCAGCTCTGTGCCGCTTAAGCCTCACCGCGTGTGGTGACTGTTGGTTCGCTTGGCTCAGTGCGACTCTTCTCATTGGGTCGGCTGGGGTCGAAGCAAGCGACACGTGAGTTGGTCGGGCGGACGACCCATGTATATCGCAGGTTGCCCCGGAATGGAGACGGCAATCCCGCTGCCGTTGTTCTCTTGGCAGCAAGCCGTCAGGCTGGAATCAGGCCACGGGCAGTGCAAGGCTGAGCACGAGCTCACTTGGGGTCTCAAATGAAAGTTCTCGGGCGAGTGTTCGTCATAATTTGTGGTTACATTATGCCGGGTCGCAACATGCATCACGGCGGCATCGTCTATGGTATCTACAGCAAAATGCGGTCGCTCACCTCGCGATGCTCGCTCTCAAGCACAAGCGGGCCCCCGCTGGGGCCGCTAGCGTCCAGGCTGAGGGTGACCTTTTGCAAGTCGGCCACCACCCGCACCGTCTCTCCGATGTTTTGGTAGTCGATCTCGTGGTGGCCATGCGCCTGGGACGACTCGTCCTTTTCTTCCTTCACCTCGCGGATCTCGACGTTTGGAAACGGCAGCCGGCCCTCACGCAGCGGGACCAGCAGCACGGGGACATGGAGCTCCGACTCGCCGAACTTTGTGTCGGACTTGTCGACGCCCAGGCTCTTGAAGTGGCCCCGTTTGCGGCCGCCGACGAGCCATGTCTCGGGAAGACCGTTGACCTCGTAGCTGAATTCGTAGTCCTTGTTGATGCTCTTGCCGTCGCTGACGGCTGTGTCCCAGATGCGTGTCCACCGCAGCCGGAGGTTGGCAGCGAGGAGCTGGTTGACGGCTACGGTTGAGTCGAAAGTTTGCTCTGAGGGGGGCGGGAGCTGGATGTCGACAGAGTGGAAAACGGGGATTGACGGAACGTCGACGGGTATGAGAATGGAGCGTCTCGCAGATTCCATTTCTTTGATTATAAGTCGCGGGTGGGCTGCCTGCCATTCCTTCAGGAAGGCCTTCAGCATGATTGTCGCATCTTCACTGGTACCCGGGACAGCGCCCAAGCCAGAAATAGCTCCCTCCGCCAACAAGGGCGAGATGAAGCTCGTCGGGACCTCGCCAAGCAGGGCGGCACGTTCCAGCTCATAAGCAGAGAGACCAGATTGGACCTCCTTCAGGATACGTCCAATCAGAAACCCGGAGAACGTCGATAACGGCAATTCTTTGGTAGCCTCGGCAAAGACTTCTTCGACATGGTCGATAATCTCATCCAACAGCACGCTGTATTCGAGTCTGAGATACATGGTTCGCGGCGTCTTGGCAGTGATTACGTTCGCGGACTTCCTGGTGATCTTGTACAGCAAGCTGGCCGGCTGTTTGGGGAAGACTGTGACGGTCCTACTTGACCCTGGGGCAGCATGGGCCTTGAAGACTTCGGAATCCAGGAGCTTTGTCGTGAACAGCTTCAGCGGGCTGGCAGATGCCGTCGAGACGCTGAAGCGGGAGAAGAGCTCCTTGTCCTTGAAGACATCCTGGACATTTACACCCAAAGCCAGCGAGATGGGAATTGAGAAGACGCTCGAGTAGTGGTACGTCGTGTCCTCCGTTGTGTAATTCACCTCAACTCTGACCGAAATATTGGGAACGTCTTGTTCAATAGTGTAAGGGAAGCGCATCTTGATGGTTGTCGACTCGGATACGGCCCCGAAACGGAATAGTCCGGCTTCAGGTGGTTTCTCATATTCAAAGGAAGGGCCGACAAAACTGGCTTCCGTCGAGTTGATGCGGAGACCGCCGGTAGCGGGTTTCACCGACAGCTCGCAGGACGTGATGGAGTTCCATCCGGTTGATACCTCCAGGTCGACCGAGTTGTTCTTGTCGAGTTGGATATCCTTGGCTGCCGTAAGGCGGCATCTCAAACCTCCTGCTGGGCGGTACAGCTGCACGTCGGGCACGCGGAAGACATGAGCCATTTTGCTCGGTGTCTGAGTGACGTCACGCTCCCAGTGGAGGTGGACGTTGTCACAGACAATATCCGCCTGGTGTATTCTATAGGGGCCCGATACGTTCGTCTGTGTCTAGTTAGCCGAGTCCTTCTACGTCAGATAACGTTACTTACTGTGCTGACGAAGTGCAGTTTGTTTACGCCCGGCTTCAACGTGCTTGTCTCGGAGGTTTGCAGACGGACTTCCTTCGTTCCACCAGGAATGGTACGGGTGAGGCGAAGAGTGCCCTTTTCCACCTTCAGTTCATCGACCAGAAGGCTCCTGAGTGTGATGGTAAGAGAGAAGCGGTCCTTTCCATCGTGATACTCCGGGGTTCCTAGGACCTCCACTTGGGTAAATAGTTGGTTCAGAGGAACCCGGACCTCATTTGATAGTGTTGCCGCAACGCTCAAGATCTCGTTCAAGAAGCCACTGATGGCGCTCTTGTCGGGATATGTAACTTCCGCAGAAGGGCCCACAGAAAGCGACTTTTTCTGGAGTAATCTTTCATTCTCAGCGGCGGCCGCCTTCGTTAATAGCTTCAGTCCCACCCGGACGAATTCGTCCTTGCGCTGTAATTCCCGTAGACAGTGAGAGTACATAACAAGCATGGACAGCTCCAGTAAACTCCAGCTGTTCTCTCCAAAGAAAGGCGTTGTCATGTAGAAGAACGAGGCAGCAGGGCCATACTCGCCCAGATGGTATTTCAGTACAGCAAGATCAGCCATACTGGTCTTGACTGCATGCGTATGGTTCGCAACGGTGTAGTGTCTGAGGGCTTTGTCCGTGAGTGTTTCGTAGAGCCGGTAAAAGTCTTCACGGCTATCCAGGGCAGCGTGCAGTAGCCCGTTCTCGATTCCGGCGAGGCCCACGCAAGAAGTTGCTGAGTCGTCGGCATCCTCTTCCTTATCGTCATTCTCGAGGCTCACTTCCTCAAACTCATTGGCCTCTGGTTCTCCAACCACGGGCGCTGATGTCCAACCGCTTTCCCAGCCCCGCTTCTTGCCGGTGCCTTGGAGGACATTGCGAGACAGGGCATAGAGTTCGGCACGCCTGGCAGCGAGCTCTTCTAGACCTGCCTTGAGATATTGGGCGTTGGGGGCAGTCGGTGTGGTATCTTCTGTGCTGGCCCGACTTGCACCAGGGAATATGCCAGGGCTGGGTGGTGGCCTGGTATTCGTCGTCCGTACTGAAAGGGACGAGTTTCGCGCAGGGTGAATCATGGTCTTAAGCTCAGGGATCGATGCCTTCTGCTCGTGAGTGTCTGCGTTACCGAGTGTTGACGGGGGGATGGGGAGCGCCTTGGTGGAAGTCTGGGCAAGAATCTGCTGAGCAACAGAGAAAGCGAAGGAAGCAACGAGGTTGTCGATTGCCTCAGACAAGATCGGACTCAGAAGTGGTGAGTCGCCTGAATGCTTGGCTTTCAGCGCAGACAAGATATCGGTCCTCATGACCTGGGAGACGGCAGGGACGAATTCCAGCGTCCTGCGGCAGATTTCGGCCAGCATTGACAGGTTCTCGACATCTTCAGTCTGCTTGGGCGGTGGCGCCTGGGGTGCAACGCCGTGTAGGACGGATTCTTGTTGCTCCCTCAGCTTAGCCAGAAGCTCTTCGCGGGTAGACCAGGCATTGCCCAGGCGAAGGAGCAACGATATTTGTCTGGCAAATATATAACAGCGGAAGTCGAACACCGATACGTTGTTGGCCACTATCATCTCCCGATAGGGCTTCTTTGTAGAGCTGATAGGGATCTCGTCGAACTTGTCGTTCTTGGGGGCGTCTGAAGCTTGCAAGTCAACTGGCTCATCGTCCTCGTCAGACCCTTCAGCGGCACCGAGAACCTGAACAGCGGCTTCCGCGCGCTTGACCAAATCATCGGTGTGGTCCAGGAGAGATCCCCCATGCCTCTCAGCATCGCCTGAAGTCGCTTGCTCCTGGATGACGGTGTCCAGTCCGACACTGAGTTCATCGTAGCCAACTAGCGCATCTTCGACCAAGCCTACACTTTCGAAGCCACGGGCCAGGCCCTCCTTCAAAATGAAGAAGGTACAGAAGTTCCACCCCGGAAGAGCTCTTTGCGAGTCCTTCTCTTTGATATCATCTTCGTACTGCGTGACTCGCATGTCGAATGAGGAGAGTATCAGCTCCTTGAACTTGCCAATGAGGTCTTCCCAAGCATTCTCTGCGTCCTGGCGGGATTCGGAATAGCCAGTCGGTGTGGCGGGCACAACACGAGGCAGGATATCGTACGGCACATCATTGATACCTATGCGAATCTGTGCGATACGGTCCGGCGCGCTTTTGCTGGAGCTGTTGAAGTCGGATCGGAGCTTCTCCAGGAGGGTTGAGGAACCAGATCCCCATCTGGACGTCCTCGACTTTTCAGCAGCATCAGGCCCTTTGCCGCTGACTCGTGGTTGGTTTGCGGCGGCCGTGTTGGGGATGACGACGTGTACAACAAGCCATTCGAAGGCGTCATGGTTCTCTTGCGTGTTCGCCTTCCGCGTGGACTGGGAGGGAGGTGTGTGTTCCTTGATCCACTCTCGTATCTCGGATCGCGTCTTGGACTTGTACGTGTCGCTGTCGTCGCATCGGACCAGCAGCACCTTGAGATATGGTGTGCGCCTCAGACCTGGTATCTGGTGTCGTCGCTGGGCGCCCGAGTAGCGAGCCGTGGCCGTGGGCGTGTCGGCATTGTCCGCCGCGGTGCTCTTCCCGCCGATTTGCTGGGTCTGGAAGCCGTCGTCCTTGGCGGTGCTCGCGCTGACTGACCTTGTAAGAGCGGGCGATACGGTGGGTGAAGCTGGGGCGGCGGGT